TATATATATATATATATATATATATATATATATATTGCTGTAATACATCTGATATACGGGTACAATTTCTGGTAGAATTTGCTGCTATGTGTGTGTTGATTAAAGGAGTTTGTAGATGAAAATAGTTTTGTTTTTGTTTTTTGGGTTTTTTTTTTTAATTCTTTCTATCCTTCTACCCTTTAAATTGCCATTAAGTGCAACATAATTTTCATGGTGGCCTATGATCAATTTTGCCTTATTTACCATAATAGCTAATAAGTATAATAGAAATAACTGCAGTTTAAGTTAACATTTATACTGTTTTAAGAATAGATAAGCTCAGTTGTAAAATATACATAAAGTAGTTTAGAATTCTTGACCTGTATCATTTTGGACAACTACTATATGTTTCTGCTATCTTCACCCAGAGGCTGTATAGCCAACTGTTACGTTCAAAGTGACAAGTCAGTACTGTAGGTTATGTAATAATTTTGATCCTAAAATACATCTTTGGATTTTTCAAATTAAAAATTTGCAGTTGGAGTTAATGTTGAAAAATAAGTGGTCCGAGGGCAAGGGATATATAGCCTAGTGGCACAGTGCTTGCCTGACAAGCACAAGGCCCTAAGTTCAATTCCTGGTACAAAAAAACCCATATGAATCATGAAAACAAACACGTTAGAACATTTGGCCCCTGTTGTTTTAGTGCTATTAAAATGAATGGGAAATGTCATTGAATACTAGAAAGTAAGGTTATTTTGTGGTCTAAAGGTTATTTTCTATAGACTTTGATTTAAAAAGAGGACAGTGGCACAATTTCAACAAGACCAAAAACAATATGAGAAATAATACTGGTTCACAATTCCTAAAGCTATTTTCTGTTTATAACAATTAGTTTAAAATGATGCAAAACAAATCACTATAGAACCTTTCAGTGTGACATTTCATAAAACATTGAGGTTTTCCTTCAGCATATGTTTGTTTTTATTTTTAGAAGACAAACCTATTATTTAAAAACAAAACAATCTCCTTTGTGGGTTGGGGTGGTGGTGAATTACTGTGATATAGAATAATACCTTACTGGAGACAGGCTTTATTATTTCAAGAATTCAATTTCAGATTGTATTTGTTCTTGTTTGCTTTTTCTTGCTACAATGCACAAATTTTCTGTCTTACCAGATAACAGAATTGTTGTATAAGGATGGACGTTATTGCCAGGAGCCTCCAGGACCAAGGGGTAGTGTTTCAATTTCAATGATTGTAACTAATCCATAAATCCATTCTTCTGTGTAATGATGGGTTAGAAGGATTACAACAGTAAACACTTTCTTTTTGAAAGTGAAATTTGAAAACATTTGGTTATAAATCTTTATATTGATAATCTCAACATTTTTAGATATACGTGGTGTTTGCTTTTATTATAATTATTAAAAGATAGGGCTAGGAGCCTTTCTTATCAAGTATCAAGGAAATGCTTCTGATCGCATCTACGAAAATAGGCTTAAAATCAGTGATTCTTAGTGTTTATATGGTTTTAATGTGTAGATGTGGATTAATTTTAAACATATAACGTAGAAAAAGAGTCTTGTGGATTTTAAAAAAGATCATTTTTGCATTTAATGATTTTCATGTCATACATTGATACTTAGAAATACAGTTTTCTATAAGGAGGTACCATTCTTGAAAGTTCAGATCTCCTGTCTTAGGCATTAACACATGGCCCTATACATTTTATGCTTGAATGCATAGGAAAATTACTGTTGTTATAAAACATCCTTGTTAATCTTGGTATTTCATTGGCTAATAGGCAGCTCTCCACAGGATTACTGTATCTGCTTATTAAAATTATTTAACTTTCTATATCAACATTTAGCGATCCTTTCTAATTTTATGTGGTTCCCTAAATATTGTCCACCAAAAAATTAGTATAGAAATGTGTAAAGACATTTATTTATTCTCACTGCTTGTGATTTGGACAGGAGAGAGGTAAGCCCTTGGGCAGCACCACTTCTGTCACAGAGTGGTGGAAAAAAATAGATTGAAGTAAGATTCAGTACTGAAAAGCTGTCACTCGGTCTGAAAATAATTAATATTCCTTTCACTCACCAGTTAGATATGTGCTCCCAAACCACATAATCTCTATGCCTCAGTGATCATTGTTGCCATTTCAGAGCCTCTCATCAGGGTGACATCTCACACCAAAATGATTTCTTATAAATTAATCTTGATAACATGACAGTCTCAGTAATTTTAGTGGAATGCTTTCTCTTGTTTTTTTCCACAGAAGCTGTTGGCTATTTTCTTTATAACTTGATTGGCAGCATGAGTGACTCAGAGGTACAGGCCAACGAGGAGCATTTGAGACAATACTTCCATCAGCTGAAGGAGATGGTACCATTTCATTTTTTGCTATATAATGCCTGTCCTGCCTGACATGTATCTATTAGATTTGAAATTGCTGCTTTTAAGTACAACCAAACCACTTCTCAATGACATGCAAGATTTGGAGACTTAAATTATGTCTGAGATAATTTCTGTTAGACAAATTTCAGTTTAGTTGTCTAAAACTCAGGGTTTTTTTTTTTTTCCTCCTCTTCCCTTTACACAGAATATAAAAATTTATGAAAATATCTACAGAGGCATTCGTAATCTGCTGGATAGCTACCATGTTCCTGAATTGATTAAGGTGTGTGTGAAAATAGTAATCAGTTTTATGAATTGTTTAATTTATATATAAAAGCATGTTAAATTTTTACTTAAATCTAAAAATTTTTATTTCAGTGACAACCATTGAAACAGATTTTCATTGTTGGTAAAAAAACCTGTACGTTGAATACATTTAAAACATTAATTGTAATGCATAAGTATGAATAGAATTTCTACAAAATTTTTGGAAAGATAGAAATATATTAATAAAATGAGATAGGACTTAAAATTTTAGTTTTAACATTTGCTAATAAATTCCCTGTGTTTTCTAATTCTGTACTAATTTAAATCCCAATTTTAGGATGTTAATATATTAGTGGAAAGAGAGAAGAGAGATTCTCAAAAAGTAAGTAGGTTTTTGAGTGGATTCTACATGCTGTAATAACTGCATTTAATGAAAATTTTACACTGTGTTTTTATAAAATCAGTGGTTCCTCACATTTTAAAGTCTTAAGAAGTTTTTAAAACATATTTTCCGTCCCAGAAAAATCAGCAATCTAGGAAATTTGTGTCTAATCTTGGGAGGTTCATTAGCACCTGGAGTCCATTTGTAGATCCTCAGGTTAATATATCTGACAGCTTTAATGACATTTAAGAAACTAGAAACAAAGGTTAGCTCGAAGGGAAGAATGACAAGGGCTGGATTTTCTTTTTTTAGTAAATTTTCTTGTTTCCTCTGTTTATTTGTAGACATCATCTGATTTAGAGGCTACACTTGAAAAACTAAAAGATAATAATCAACCTATAGGTGATGTCCTAAAGCAACTCATATTAACGCTTTGTTCAGAGGAGGTAACATTTGTTTAAATATTTCAAATATGCTATTATGGTAAAAAAAATTCTTTACAGATCACAGTAAGCAAAACTGAATATAATGTTTAATTTTTACAATTGATTATTATACATCATGCTTGTGAACAGTGCAATTAAATGAAAGGTTAACTAATTTCAGCTACACCTTGAATGGCATGTTTTCCAGTTGCTGTAGTTTGTTTACGTTAATCTGCAAAGTGAATGATAGTAACAGCTGTGATAGGTTTATCATACATGCCAAATGTCCTTTCAAGCCATGGCTCCGGTCTCTTATATCTAGATTGTCAAGCAACTGATATATGCAATAGTCATTTGCAAGTCAAATATTACAAGGTTGTTAATGTAGGGATTGAAATTCCATTTTCCTGCTAGAAAAAAAGCTCTCTGAGATAAAGGGTCTCTTGGCTTTTTTCAACGGGCATCCAGCTGTACTTTGTGTTCATTTTAGTGTGTGCGTGTGTGTGCGCGCGCGTGCGCGCGCACGCAATTTGTGGAATAGCACTGGATGTTTTTCAGTTTCTACTTCAGTATGATTTGGTCAAAAGCTGTGGTTTTAGGAAAAAATACAACTAATTTTGAGATTACCTAGTGCTGTTAAATTTTTAAAGATTTTTTTTCATATTGCTTGGATACTAAACTACACTGAGGAACTTTCTCAATACTGGTACATATTTTTGCATCTATAATTGGATTGTGATTAGGAGCTGACTTGGAAATATTTGATCTGAAAGTATTTTAAATAATACATGAAGCTAAAACATCAAATTTTGTAGAAATAGTAGCCTATTTTATATTACAAATAACAAATCTTTTTTTTGTTTGTTTTTTTGTTTTTTTGCTTTTGGTACTGGGGATTGAACTCGGGACCTTGCGCTTGTGAGGCAGGTGCCGAATAACAAATCTTTTAGACCAGGTAAACCTATCTTGTTGTTTCAAAGATGAATAAAAATACCAAGAGGCAGGTATAAGTTGATAACATGACACCATTTATTTTTAAAATATTGTTAAATTTTCTATATTCTGAACTCTAAAATTAAAAATATGACATTTTAACTTCTATATAAATTTCTTCTTGTTTTTTCACTTTAATTCTTAATTTTAGAATATGCAAAAAGCCCTTGAAGTGAAAACAAAATATGAATCAGACATGGTTGTCAGTAGCTATGCAGCTTTAATAAATTTGTGCTGTCGACATGATAATGCAGAAGATGCATTGAACTTGAAACAAGAATTGTGAGTATCCTGGCACTGAAGCAAGTTACCAGCACTTATGCTGATATATAGCCCTTGATGGATCACCTGCACTGAGTGTGAATCACTGTCGTATAATTTTAAAAAATTTTGTGGTCAGTGTTTTTGGAATTTCATAGTATAAGTGATTAATTGTGGCTTGTTTTCCGCAAGGTGTCTTTTTTAAGTACAGTAAGACATTCTTGTTCATAAGGCCAAGGCCACCCCCCAACCCCCATTGGTTATACAATTGCATATTGCAGTAGTGATGATGGTAACCTTTTTATAAGGCTTGATAACATTTCCCTTTCCATAGTATTACAAAATTCTGTCCATTTCTCAGATGTCTTTTGTTTCACATCCTGATTTCAAATAAAAATATGTCACTTGAGGTATTCAGTGTTCACCATGTAGGTTAGAATCATTTGAAGTGCCAGAAAATCAAAACGTTTCTTCATTAGTATCATTTACAGATAAAGAGATGCAATATATATTGTTAGATTTTTTACTTCTGTAGTCACTGTGAAAGTAATTACATGGGAATTGATAGGGCTTTTAAAATCTTAAATATGGAGGCCAAAATTAACATTTCAGACTGTCTGTTGAGCTTTTGCAGAGTGATAATGACTTTTAACGTACTGAAATTGTGGTTTTATTTTATAGTGAGCGGTTAGATTCATCTGCTGTACTTCACACCAATAAATATGTAGGTCTTGTAAAAGTATTGGGAAAACATGGCAAACTCCAAGGTAAGGCTTAGCACATAAAGGAAAGAAATGACGCAAGCATTTGCCACTGGAATAACATGTGAATTGATATTAATGGTATATCATGTCCTGCAAAGTGCTTGAACACTTTGCATACAAATTTGCATGTGAATCCAACCAGAGCTGCCTGGGCAGTATAGGCCATTAGTTTTAATGGATTGGCAAGCTTGTCATTTACATTTACACAGCTCAGTGCCTTTTGCATTTCTGCAGCTATCTTTTATTAGCATTTGCTGTTTGGATTGAGTTTGAAGATCATGACTTATGGCACAATTTGCTTATATGCCTGCACTAATGGTTTTGTTTTTACTTAAGAAGTTCTGAAGGCTGAACATCAAACCTATAAACATAACCTGATATGTAAGAGTCTGAATTTTGCAGTAGTTTTTGTCTTAACTTTTAAATTTTTTATGTAGATATTCATAGGAAAAGCATAACTCATATAACTCAATATAGAGTGTATATTCTAATTATCTTTTTGTTGAGATAGCACTAAACCACTAAACATGATATACTTGATAATATATTTCTTACTATTTGCTTGTTTCTCAACTTTGCAATTTGGCTTTATTTTGTTTTTTGTTTGTTTGTTTGTTTGTTTGGTATCGGGCATCAAACTCTTTGCGCCTGCACAGCAGGTGGCGAAACCACTGAGCTAAATCCCTGGCCCAATTGGGGTTTATTTTGGAACTTCATTTTTAGCCTTCCTCTTGTCTTCCTTTTTAGAAGAGACTTTTAATTTTGTTTTAAGGGAAAAATATACAGGGAACATATGATTTGAACATTAAAATATTTTCGAGGAACCCTCTATAGCACAGAAAACTCTTTATAAAGATTAGCCTGGTTTTTTAAAAATCACGTTTTATAAAGTGGTCAAAACATTTTTGTCTGTGTCATAATTAAGAACAACATTATAAAAATGCACTTATTCTATATCCTAAAATGTTTGTTTCTGCCTTCCTAATGAAGCTTAATCTAATGTATTAACATGCAGTCTTTTGGAAAGGTTTCATTGGCTCTGCTTGGCTAATTAGTATCGACATAGCAAACAGGCCCTATCGGTATCAGACCATTAGTCTGGCTGTATATACAGTGTAAACACATCTTTATTATCTGGCCTCCTGACAAGCCATCTGCTGAAGAAACAATGGTGTGATTTAGCAGATGTTAGCTCTGAATGATAAAAGCATCCATTTAGGAGGATCTTACAGCTATAGGGCAGACCATACAGGGTTATGTGGTGCAGAGTGGGCACACAGTCTCTATCTATAATTTGTAGTCAAAGTTGTAGGGAAATGATAAAACCATGCTATTGTGGATTTATAATTGTAGTCTCATTTAGAAATGCAAGTAGTAATTAACTTGAAATCGGCATTATACACTAGAATTTACATTCCTGCTGGGCTTGAAATGCTGTTTTAATAGCAGTTTGTTTTCCCTACATGAAATTACCTAAGGGTCTTTTGTGTTACTTCATTGTAGATGCTATTAACATTCTAAAGGAGATGAAAGAGAAGAATGTTCCTATCCAAGATGCAACGCTCTTGTCCTTTTTCCACATCCTGAACGGTGCAGCTTTAAGAGGTGAAATTGAAACAGTAAAACAGTTGCATGAAGCCATCGTTACTCTAGGGTTAGCAAAACCATCTACCAACATAAGTTTCCCATTGGTCACTGTACACCTGGAAAAGTAAGTTTATTGAATTTTGAATTTTAAATATTGACGTTAAAAGATGAGTCTAATCATTTGAAGATTATACTTTGTAAATGCTCTGGAGATATGGAAGCCCTGGGAGTTGTTTTCCCAAGGAATAAAAGAACTAAGATGGACTAAGTCACTAGTAATTCTCTGTTTCAGTGGCTTTTTAATGGAAAAATCTCTGGTGTTTTTTTTCTTTTTTTAGGAATATAGTGATCATATTACATGAAATCAAATCTAATTTGTGAGCCTAATAAGTGGTAATTATTAGTAAATATATAAAAGAAGGCTCCCCTGGGTTTTTTATTATGTCCCATAACTGTTACCCAGGTAGTAAATGTGGAAAACATACCTTTGGTGCTTCTGGGCTCCATATGGTAGTTTTAATCATGTATACCAATATAGTTGTCCTAGCTTTTGGGAAACATTGATGTCTGTCTTGTGGAAAGAGGAATTTTGGTGATATGGCAAGATGTACTGAGTTTAGGCATTTTTCTTTTGAAATGTTCATTTGAACCTAGTTTAAGGTAAATTGTAATGTAAATCATAAAAATCAGTCTGCTTTTGTAATGATTGAAGTATCTTAGTAAGATGACTAAGCATCTCCTGATTTTTTCTGTTTGCATTTGTTTTGTTTTTTGTTTTGCTTTTTTAACTTTTCTAGATCTTACCTCTTTGTCATCTTTTCCATGACTTCATGAAGTTTGTAATTACTTATTTTGTGATTAGAATTTTTAAAAAAACTTTGGTATGGACATTGACCTAGCAGTGATAGGAAAAAAATAAATTTTTGTTTTGTTTTGTTTTGTTTTTGGTAGCGGGGATTGAACTCGGGACTTTGTGCTTTCGAGGCAGGTTGCAGAACCACTGAGCTAAATCTCCGGCCCAGATTTTTGTATTTTAACAGTTCTTATAGTCTTCTCAAATTTCTGTTAGTTTGTATTTATTAGGGATGTAATTAGCTAGTATAATAAATGCTTTGGTGTTGGATTTTAAATCTTAAAATGAATTTTAAATCTTAAATTTAAAATTGAATTTTAAATAACAAAGTTCTTTTACACTTGATCTTAGCCAAAAGGCTGAGAAGCTATTACAAAATTCTTTTAAATAGCTGCCTGTTAGAAAATATGTATATTCATATATGTGAAGGCACACATGACCACACACACCTAAAATCATTCCTTTGCTGTCCAATCATAAGCAGTTATCAGAGTTAGATGATTGTTCAGATCTTAACCTCCACAATCACAGCATTACATCTTTTTAAAGAAATGGTGGTTCACACAATTACTGTGTTACTGAGTGCTCATATTCACAGCCAACTTTATATAGAAATCTTATAATTAATATGCTTCCTACTAGAATTTTTTTGATTATTTAAAAGACTCATCTCTGCAAATTGCATGTGGAACTCTGTACAGGGATTTGAAAGAAATGGGCCCAATGCCCAGAAGAATTAGGCCCTCCTACACCACTGGGCAAAAATAAAATAATTAAAAAAGTAAATGAGGCCATGGTAGAAAAGTATCTTACAAATAGAAATACATTGAGTACAGTGGAGATACGAATGCTTTCCAAAAGAGGTCTGCAGATGGGGCTCATGAACCAAGGAGAGCTTACCCAAAGCAAAATGGGAATGGCATGGAGTTCAGATGTTAACCTGGAGCATGCTCTGTGCTTATTATTAAGACAGTCAGATACTTTATGTCTCAGTCAAATTTGGCTGTCTTTGTTAATTAGGCTAAAGAAATTTAGTATCTTTTCCTTTATAATGTCTTACTATGTTCAGATACTTACAGAAATTCTTATCTTCTGTTTTTGTTTGGGTAGGTATTCTTTTTGTTTTTTATTTTTGTGCTATTTTTTACTTTGCAGAGGCAGTCTCCATGACAGGATCTTTCAGTATCATCTATCAGAATAAAAAGGTTGTGTCTGCTGTTTACAGTCATAAGAATTGTAAAATGGAAAAAAAAATTACCATTTATACAGTTGGAGAAAGTAGTAGTACCCCTTTTATCAGGGGAAAGACTGGCATAAAACACTGGCTTTTGCCAGGGATTTAGCTTAGTGGTTCTGGCACCTGCCTTGTAAGCGCAGGGTCCCAAGTTCGATCCGCGGTACCAAAAAAAAAACAAAACTCACTGGCCTTAGAACTTTTATGCAGTGGCTTTGTCTAAGTAATGGAAGGTGGCTAATTAATTCAGAATCATGCCGAGTACTAGGATTAACTATATTAGCCTGCCAAATAGTCCACACATATTTGATTCCATTAAATATATTCACTTTCCATTGATACGCAGTTTAAGTGGATATGATACAGTTGGTCCCGGCAGGTGTAAGTTTATCTTGGAGTGAACCTTATTTATTCAAATGTGCTAAAATTATAAAAAATATTTCAGAGCATCATTTTAAAAATCTTGATTCTTCCATTCAAAGTCAAGCATCTTTTTGGCATGTTACTGCAAAAGACTTTAAAAAGGTTATCACTTTCATGTTATAATTCTGAAGCTAGTCTGTGGGATTGAATTCCAAAAATATTTGATTCCTGGGATCTTAATTTTGAACCAACTTTTCTAGCATTGGATAAAACACATGGGAAACAATTTCAGTTTGTGTTACTTAGATAATGTGAAAATGCTTTATGGGTTTAGAAATAATGAATATTATTTTATTCATTTGCAAGGGAAATCCAAGATAGTAACAGTTTTACATTATAAAGAAGTTGGTAAACTGACCTTGTATATTATTAAAATGATAATGCCTGAATTGAACAGAAAAGAAGTATGTACAGTTAAATTTTTGTGTGCTTCTCTTATATTAAAATCTGTAAGCCATTTATCTATCAACCTCTAGTCCAAATGAGTGTTATTTTGTTTTTGGTTTTGGTACCAGGGATCGAACCCTGGGACCTGGTGCTTGCGAGGCAGGCTGACGGGGATCCTCCACACTAAGGTAGAAAGAAATGCTTTAAAAGAGCTTTTGTGGGCCGGGGATTTAGCTCAGTGATTTTGCTGCCTGCTGCGCAAGCGTAAGGAACCAAGTTCGATTTCCGGTACCAAAAAAAAAAAAAAAAAAGAGCTTTTTGAAGGGCCGGGGATTTAGCTCAGTGGTTTCGCCGCCTGCTGCGCAAGCGCAAGGACCCAAGTTTGATATCCGGTACCAAAAAAAAGAGCTTTTTGAAGGGCCGGGGATTTAGCTCAGTGGTTTCGCCGCCTGTTGCGCAAGCACAAGGACCAGAGTTCGATCCCTGGTACCAAAAAAAAAAAAAAAGAGCTTTTGATTAGTCTTCATATTATGGTTAAGGAAATGAAATCAATAAAATTTTTAGATTTGAAAGCACAAGTCTTATATGATGCAGTTTCAGATTCACTTGATTTATAGCTGATCCATTCTGGTTTCATTGCCCGTGAAAAATATCTGAAGCTGTTTAACTGGATTATATTAGTACAGATGCTCAAAGCAGCTTTAATTTCTGCTTTCCATTAAGGGTTTTTTGTGCTGATTTGTGCTATAATCTGTATACACACATATGCATTTCATTTATGTGCATCGTGGACTTTGTATATATAATCTTTCCAGAACTCTTGCTAAGTTAATCTTGAGTTCTTCACAAATGACACTTTCTCTAAGATGAACTTCTAACAGTGTAAGTTTTGAAACTCATTGTAATGCTTTCATACTTTGAAAAAATGGGAAATGCACTTTTTAAAATGCTTTTTATTCTGTCATACATGCTCTCCTTCCATTTTAGTGTCTTCATTTGTATTGGATACTTTTATTATTTATGGGAATGCTTGCCTTGTAAAATAAAACTCTTCATGTGCTGAAAGGAAATTTTAAAAAAAGTAAGAGGTTGGGCTCTTTTACTCCATTATTGCAATTAAGAATTTAGCATCATCAGTGCCAAAGGACAAAAGTGTTTCATTTGCCCTAGGGGGACAGGACAGTGATAAGATGATTTTTCGTCAAGGATCATTGGGTCGTAATTAAGTTACATTCATGGCTATTGCTTTTTGAAGGATGATTGGTAAATGACAGGCTTCATGTGCTTAGTACGGACAGTGTGCAGTAGGGTTTTTTCTCTCTCTGTCAGAAAATCCTGTTGAGCCTGATAATGTAAATGTGGCATTTTATTCTGAACAAAAGAGCAGGGAAATGAGCTATCTTGTCTAATCATTCAGTTGTTTAACACCGACTTCCAGTTTAGACTCAATTGGCTGGAAAGCACTTGACATGTGAAGTTAGTGCTGTTCGGAACGCATGTTTGAGTAAATTTTAAAGTAAGTGACAGCTAAATTGTACCTAGGGAAATTACAAAGCCTTCAACACAGTTAATTTTTTGGGGAAGATTAGTTGTAATTGCAACACCAGTCTCCTTGAAGATTCTTCATTTATAGATGTTGAACAGAAAAAACAGTCAGCTTTTTCAAGGGCTGGTTCTCGTCACAGAATAATTTTTGTGAAGATGATGGTTTCTCCTGATTTGATTTCTCCCCATACTAAACATCTGCTGAAGATCTATAGAATAGTTTGTTTTTATGGTGTTGAGCTTGTTTTTTCTTTTTTAACCCTTCCTCCGTCCCCCAGTGCCCCGGCTCCACTTTTCTCTGGTGATTTCAGATTTGAGAGCTTTTCAGTCCGTAAGCCCTTGAGGTAAATTGCCACTTCACTAACACTTTATGCATGATGTTGAAGCACTTTATTCCAATTAAACAATATGTGTCATCTTTTTTTGTTGTTTAAATTAAGTATATGCTCTGAATTGAAAAGTTATTTCCTAAGGAAAATATGCTGAAAGCTACAGATAAATAGTTGTCACTAGCCGTTCTAGTGTTAATAATTCAAGATTGTGTGGAACACATGTATGATTTTTATTGTTCAATGTATTGAGAAAATTTTTTGAATTAGGAGTACTTTGTTTCCTGATTCTTTAAAAGAAAATATTTCTGTGATCAGTAGATGTTTCATATCAGTGAATGTCTAATAAGCTTATATCTTGTTTTAGCATTTGTCCTGTCATTGTTATTACAGTAAACTTTAATTTCATATTAAAAACTAAAGTGGGAGGCAACATCAGATTTTATACGTGAACTTCAAAGTAGGCTTTTTGGATGTTCTCTTATGTAATGAAAAATTATAGTAGTTGTTTCGTCATATTTTCTTAAACATGAATTATAGATTCTAGAAGTTTTGATAAAAGCCAAGTGAATCCATTCAGATTAATAACTACAACTCTTCAGTTTTCACCCTGCTTACTGGACCCACTTGGTTGTGTGTGCTTGTGTGTGTGTGTTGGGGGGTGTATTAAAATTAGAATTACAGAATCATCTTCCCCAATTTTGCCTTTCATAGGCTCACAGAATTTGGTAAAACTTCAGTTGCGCTCTTAAAAATGCTTTTGATAAATAAAACTTCACTTGATAATTTGTATCAATCAAACATTTTTAGGGCCAGGGATTTATCTCAGCGGTTCCGCCACCTGCCTCGTAAGTGCAAGGACCCAAGTTCAATCCCTGGTACTAAAAAAACAAACAAACAAAAAACCATTTTTTAAATGGTTAATTTTTATTAGCACGTATAGTTTATTCATAAGAGTTACATTATATAGTTTACTAAAATTTGAGGTGTTCTAGTCTTTAAAAATATCATGGTGGATATTTCAGTACAGTTTGTTAAGAGTTGATTTTCTTGCTGGGCGTGGTGGTCCATGCTTGTAATCCTAGCACTCAGGAGGCAGCTTGGGCTACATAGTGAGTTCACGGGTAGCCTGCACAACAAAACAAGATCCTGTCTCTGTTTTTTGGGGATTTTTTGGTACTGGATGTCGAACTCAGGACTTCATGCTTGCCAGGCAGGTGCTGTGCCACTGAGCTACATCCCTGGCCCAAGACCCTGTCTCAGAAAAACCAAAAAAAATCCCCCCAAAAACAGGTTTTCTTTTTGTGTTATTTGAGGTTTGTGAAAGCAGTGACTACATTATTTTTTTTCAGGAATGGACTTTTAAAAACTATATAAAATCTTAGGAATTATGCATGTATATTGAAATTAGGACAGAATTAAAGTTTGTTGTGTTTTTTTTTTTTTGGTACCGGGGATCGAACTCATGACCTTCTGCTTGTGAGGCAGGCGCCGGAACCACTGACCTAAGTCCCTGGCCCCAGAATTAAAGTTTTGAATGCACAATCAGTGTATTGACAAGATTGTTTCAAAAGGTTATTGTTATTTTTGAGTAGAGTTTTAACTCATTTCTGTTATACGAAGTGTACAAAAGAAACCATAGATCACTTTAGGTCACAGAAGCTGGAACTACACTGATTGGTAATGTGTTGTCCTATGTTTTGATTGGAATGAATCTCTAACCTTTTTCTTTTTGATATTTTGCTGTTTTTAACTGATTTCATCCTGCCTATCAAAGTGGTGTTTCCACATGATGATTTTACCTGTTGGTGTGAAACATGTGAATAGATGAATCTAATGAGCACAGATTCATGGACCCTCTCAGTATTAGAACTGGGAAGGAGCCCAAAAATCCTTGAGTTCAGTTTTTGTGATAAGCTACTTTTCATCACCACTTCTAAGAGTATGAGCTGCATGTAGTACTTATTAGTTGGGATCAAAATCCAGAATGCTATGACTATAAACTGTCTTCATACCTATGTGAGTTTAGTTGTTTTTCACATTTTTAATTTTCATAACCTAAAATTTCAAGGTTTAATAGGAAAGATGATGATGATGATGATTATATAAACCATGTGGGGAATGTTTTTATTTATTTTTATTTATTTATTTTTGGTGCTGGGGATCGAACTTGGGTCCTTGCCCTTGCGCAGCAGGCGGCAAAACCACTGAGCTAAATCCCTGGCACTGGGGAATGTTTTTAAAGTGACATGTTCCACCCTCAAGTCAGAATGTAGATAGTAGCAACTGAAGTCATTTACTTCATTTCTATCTCATTACATTTTGTAAGAAGTGTTTCATTGTAGATTTGTAATTCATTTTGTTGGCAACTTAAGAGCAATAACATTGATACTTAAAATTACTAACAAATACATGAAGTATTTTCATTTTACTCCCCTTGTCTTTTCTGTTGTTCAGAGTATGTATAATCTTCAGAAGCATATATTTGGAGACCAAAGATAATAACATGTCGTTTTGATTGACAACAATTATTCATTCATTTATTGATAGCTTTGACCTAATGTAAGGAAAACACAATTGAGACAATACTATTCTAGTTTGGGAATTGATCTGAAAAAAGCAAATCTTTCTAGTTAAAAAAAAAAAAATCAGTATCTGTTGGTTTTACTCTGAAAAATGGTTTAGTTGTTTTCCATTAAGTGGAATTGTAGAAGGGCAATAACTGAACCTGTGTCTAAAGCAAGAGAAAATACTGATTATATAAAGCTTTATATCATATGTGGTAACTACTATAGCATTTCTTTTGTATGACAGTAATCTAGCCTGCAACATCTACTTGCGGTTTTGAAATTAACCTGTAATTTAGTCTTCACCCCAAATGACAAAAATTCAAATGACTCTGTGGGGTGCCGGAAGATGCACTGTAAACAGGGCTTCATAAGAGGATAAGGTAGAGTTCCATTAGGATAGGCTCGTTTTCATTGTGTCAGTATTATTGCAGTGAAATTAACACTTCTTCATTGTATTTTACTTTTTTTAGAACAGCTTAAAATCTGAATCTAGATAAAATAGCAATCTGAGCAACGTAACATTTGTATAATGGACAGAAATGTTAAGGCTTTAGCAGGAAATTTTAAAAGGCTTTCATCCTTTTGAAAACTGTTGCCTTTGTAAGAGAAATTTCTATTCTCTATCAAGATTGCTTGCTGCTAATTGTCACTGGTTGTACTTTTGTCTGTATCTCTAACCATGCTTCTTTTTAAGTACATTCATACTCATTTCCAGAAACTTCAATTTCTTATGCCAAATTGTACCATTTTATGGGACTGTGCAGACACTGGAGCTTTCACAAAGTGTAATGTGTAAGATGCCCTGGCCTGAAAGTGGGGGTCTGAGCTGTGCTGCCAGTGCCCGCCTCTGTTTACTCAGTATATTTAGGTGGCTCAATCAGTCTTTAGATGCCTTAATTTCCTTAACCCTTTAAAAATAAAAGGAGGTGCCAGTAGAATTGGATTACCTAATCTCTATAGTTCTTGCAAAGTCTTACATAGTTCTCATGTTCCTTTTAAAGAAAAAAAAAGTACTTTTTGTGGACCCAGAAATGTTTCCACACTCTTGCTTAAGAAACTTCAGCATAATGAAAATGCCTTTTTATTTTATTTCCACATAAAAAAGGCTTTGACTTTTTGATTGAAAATAACTTTTAAAAACCTTACTCTGTGTTGAAAATGTTTAGAATTCTGGAATTCCCTGGCCTACAAGAAGAGTATCTTAGTTTGAGCAATAGTCAGTTCCAGTATCCATGAACCCTGCGGATTTCATCTAGTAAGGGGGAGGCTTGAAAAATATGGTGTCAAATAAATGCTTAAAAATTCCTTGATAGGTGTTTATTGATATGCAGTAAATTTTCCCAAATCTGAAATTGTTGAGGGCCGTGAAAGCACATAAGTAATTGAAATAGATATTTGATGGTAGTCCTTGTTTTAGAAATAATACATATTTTTAGAGCAATTTATTACATAAAATTAGATTATAATAAAATCAGAGAATGCTCTCATCTGTTTTGATTTTTTTTTCCCCCTAAGTAGCATTTATCAAGCAAAATATTAAAGGTGAATCTAGGAAAAATTGAACTACTTGGTTATATATATTTTGAACATATAAAAGGCTTGTTTTCCTTTTTCCATTTTATCTTATGGTTTCTACCTTAAGTAAAACTCAAATGTTTGTTTTGATTTGTCATTGTACATCTCTAAACCACTACTGAAAGCCTAAACTGAATTTAGGTATATTTTATAGTTGTTAATTATTTTATTTTTTATAGGGGTGACTTACTTGCTGCCCTTGAAGCCATGATTGTTTGCTATAAAAAGTATAAAATATTGCCGAGGATGCATGATGTCTTATGTAAACTGGTAGAGAAAGGAGAGACTGATCTAATCCAGAAAGGTTTGTTACCTTCAAGTATTTTAGTGTAGATTTTTTTCCTGCTTATTTAATCTAATTGTATTGTTGTGAAAAGAAAATTTAACAGAAGGTAAGCATATCCAGAGGAACTCTTGTTACACTTGTGAATTGAATAGAACGATATTAGGTAGGTTTTCAATGCTGTACATGTCCTTGATGTTTAATAACTGTTCCTTTTGGAAAAATTACCCTTCTATTATTATTGGGTTTTTTTTCGTGCTGGGGATCAAACTCGGTTCCTTGTGCTTGCACAGCAGGAGGCAAAACCACTGAGCTAAATCCCCAGCCCACCCTTCTATTATTTTTGAGCTCTACTTAGTGCTCTGCCTTTATGAAGATTTTAACATCTTACCTTCACCAGTTCTCTTTGAAGCTAACCTTGGGTACTTAATGTCATATATGTATGTTACTAGATTTAATATGACAGAAAAGTCAGTTGATAAAACTGTAATCTTTTAATTTAGTCTTAATGTTTGACTTTAAGATAAAGGTTTTTTTAATTTATGTAGAACTTCGTATCATATTTTGTTTCTATTTTTTTCTTCTAATATATTTATATATGTTTATTTTTTCTCTCTCTTGCCTAGCAATGGACTTTGTAAGCCAAGAACAAGGTGAAATGACGATGCTCTATGATATCTTCTTTGCCTTCCTACAAACAGGAAATTACAAAGAGGCCAAGAAGATCATGGAGGTGTGATTTTAAATACAGTATTGTAATTGTACAGCTGTTTAGACTCTTTAATTAGAATACATTTAAAAATTTTAACCTTTAATTAACAGTTGTTCTGATTCATGTTAATAGAATTCAATTCCAGTAATGGGGGGGAAGGGGGACTCGGCCAGCTTCTTTATTGTATATAATTACAGTTCAGAAAAGGCAGTCTGGTTGTATATTGAATTTGTTTCCTCACTTTGTTAAATTCACTATTATATATCAAAATGATATTTGCATATTAAATCTTGGATTGTGGAACAATTAAATTAAACTGGCATTCCTGAGTGTAAAGTTGCTAATCCTCTTTGCCAAAGAATTCTTTGTTCTTAAAAGCAGTTGAATTTAATTTGCTGCAGACCATGCTCAGATTTATTTGTAGTGCTTGTCTACAAGTTAATCAGCCAAACAAGTGCTGTCTGCAACTGTTTGGCACTTAATTTAAATTTTCTTCTTTATTTATTTTTTTTACTGTGGTAAGCAGCTTATGGGAAATGGTAGGTAACAAACCTGGCCTATTTAGGATTAGTATATTTTATCTAGGCTTTGCTGAAATTTTCCTTACTGGAATTGATAAGGCAAAGGGCAACTATAAAGTCTGTCCAAATTGTGATTAATTTCACTATTAAGTAATTTTGTATCCACTAAGAAAATAAAACATTCCACAGAAGATGGATACATTACTTTAAGAGAAATTGGTTTATGTTATTAAAACATTTATAAATACATAAGCAGTTACATTTCTCTTAGATTATACTTTTACTCTGTGTCTTTTTCCAAAAATGTCCATGGTAGGGTATATGGATGACTCCTTATTATAAAAGTGAAAATGTAGACATATAACCTAGAAAAGTATTACTGTTTCTCTTGGTGCTTTTTCAAAGAAGATAAAAGGCTAGTATGGAAAAGGAAGACTATGAGACTAATTTACAACTTTTTTTCTCTTTCTCAGTGCCTTTTTTAATTTTGGTACCGGGAATCGAACTCAGGCCCTTGTGCTTGCAAGGCAAGTGGCAGCCCCACTGAGCTAAATCCCCGGCCCTCTCAGTATTTTTTAAGTCAGTGTATCCCGTCATTGTCTTAGGTGCTTCTGCAGCTCAAGTAGTTCAATCTGTATTTTCTAAGAAATAGTATATATTCTTCCTTGGAGAGTACACAGTGAGTCTGAAAATAAGAGGAGCCTGTCTGCCTGTTGAATTTGCTGTGCTGTATGCTTGTATTAGTATTAGCAAGTCACTGATCAGAGTAGAAAGGAACCTTGGGTTTTCACATACTACCAGTGAGAGGTTCTGCAGGAGGGAAATGTATGTCTCTGTCTGCTATAATAACCAAGATGTAATAGAAGAAGCCAAAGGCCTAAGAGTAAATTCTCTTTTTGCCATCTACTTGCTTATGTGATAATGGGCATGTTACTAAACCTTTCTAACCTTCCTCATCTATAAAAGTAAATATAATATTTGTCTTTAAGAAAGATTCTATTGCACAATGTATGTAAAACAGCTTACGTATTTACTGGATTGTGAAGTGATCAGTAATATGAATTCTCATTGCCCCTTAAAGTTAGGGATTATGTTATCTTTAACCCACATAATTTTCATATGATACTTAGCATCAAGTATATGCTTGTCACATAAATAGGCAAGAGAAGACATCCTCTTAATTATTTCAGAGCTTTGCCAATATGCACGCATCATTTAGGAATAACTGCCCAAAACACAGTTTTCAGAGTGGATGTGTACAAATTGTTGAAGGGATAAAGAATAGCTCTGCAGTATTCAAATGATAGGACAGCAAGCTGTCTAATATGAAAATGTGCTAGAGGACATTTGCAGGGCTAGTCTGTGGTTAGGTAGGGGTGAATTATAGTGGAAACTTGGTTTTCTTTGTCATTAAAATTCAAGACCTTGAGTTTCCTAAAGATTGTTGAAAATATAAAAAGTAATAAAAATTAACGTGGACTGTAGGAGCATATGAAAGAATTCTGTAAATATTGAGCAACATTTTTGTCATTCTCCAAAAAAGCAATAGAGTGTTGTTATTTGAAGCGAGTCACTGTAGTTGAATCCAAAGCTTCTTTGTACTTGAAGCACTGTGAGAGATAGATAAACCACTCATAAAAAGGTACACACTAAGTGAAGAAAAACACATGCAAGACTCATTGTATAAATATGACCTGTTTTGTTTTTAGATGAGTTGGTATGTATATTATGTAGCATTAAACGTAATAGACGTATATTTTATTTCTAAACAGATTATGACAGGAGAGTGGGATTATAGCTGATTTTTAAAAAAAAATCTTCGGTAGTTGCTGAGCTTTCTGTAATGAGCACATATACTCTTATGCTTGGGAAAAGTGTCATTTTCTTCCAAAAAAAGAGAGTAAGAGAAAAAAATCAGGCTAAATCCTATGACCTGTCAAGGAGGTAATGTGAAACTTCTGGGAGATAAAACTAGTATGTAAAGATGACTGCTAATAACTGAAAAGTATACTTTGAGATAAAGGTATAGATAGGAACTTATTCTATGGGGAATTACGGAAGACTATATGGATGAACTGGGCATGATACACAGGTTTGATGGGGTTGGGTAGTGTATTAGAGGTAGATCAAAGGAGTAGAGAAAAAAGGTCTACACTTGTAATCACAGGACTTTCAGAAGCTGAGGCAGGAGGATTGCAAGTTCAAATATAGCATGGACTACTTAGCTAAGGAGATCTGTAGTTCATTCATTCTTGTTACAAATATCTCATGAGAAATATTTTTAAAGGGTAGATTGCTTTCAGATTTTAAAGACTACAGTAGTCATCTTCGTGGTTTTTGTTATTCTATTCAATGCATTTTTTCTTCATGTATATATAATTGAAATAAAATGAGCCGTGTATCTTAATACTTTATTCACCCTTCATTACTGCTTCATTTTCCTGAATGTAATTAAGCGCCACTGTAAATGTTATTTTTAATAGCCACATCATTCCATTGTACGAATGAAATAAACTTTCTTCATCCCTCCCTCCTTTGAGAAAAATTTGCACTATTTTTAGGCTAATCGTAATTCCCATCTTACCTATAACTGTATTTGATTTTCACATTAATTACTTAGGACCATTTCTCAGAAATGGCCCCTGATAAAGACAGAAGTGTTAATATCTTTATAGATGAGACCTCCTTTGTGGTTCATTGTAGCAAAGATTAGACTAACACCCAGGCTTCTGAGTTTTACTCCAACATTTCTTCCACTAGAAATAATGGTAAAATAAGACAGTATTTTTATGTAAACAAACAAAAATGACTTCATTCCTTTAGTTAGTTATATTTTAATGTACTCTCTATCTTCTAGGAATAACATGTTGGTAAAATAGCATAGGCAGTCACGTGAAGCTGACCTGTAATCCCAGCAAGAGTATGAGTCAGGAGGATCCTCAAGTTTGAGGCTAGCCTGGACAACTTAGGGAAACCCTGTCTCAACATAAATAAAGACAAGGCTGAGAAAGTAACTCACCACTCCCTGGGTTCAATCCCCACCACTGCCAAATAAACAAGTAAATACTCTTTTGGATGATTCATTTTGTATTTCAAGATTGCACATTAAATCCAGGAAGAGATTTTATATATTACACACACACATGAAATAGTATGAAATGGGAAACAACTCTATCAAAGGTTTCTTTTAACTTTATCCTTAGCCCATGGAGCAGTTAAGTAAGCACTTACATGTGCCTGCCGTGCTGTGTGGTTCTTAGTTACAGTCACAAAAATGAGCAAGAGCATTTCTTAGTCTAACCTCGTTCCTTGGAGCACAAACCTAGATTACCAGCTAAGCAACATAACTAAAAATAACAACTCTTTTAACACTTCTTATAGTTTTCGTGTTCACCTTCATACGAGCCTCACAAAACAACTTTGAGAGCTGATTGACTAAGGCAAAGATATTTAAGTTCAGAATGTGGATTATGAAGTTTAGTAGTTTCTAGCAGCTCTGGAATTTGAATCAGGTCCTGATTTCCCATTTTCTGTTGATTTTAATGTACCATCCCTACCTCCATGATCTCTTGACCCCTCAGTATTTGAACTATCAAAATATCTTTTCTCCTGCCAGGTGTAGTGGCACAGGCCTGTGATCCCAGCATTCGGGAGGCTGAGGCAGGAGAATTGGCCCAAGTTCTAGGACAGCCTGTGTACATAGTGAGACCCTGTCTCCAAAAATAAAAAATAAGAAAAAAAAAACTTTTCTCCAAAGTTGGGTTTTCTTAACTTTTCCCTTTCTCTTTCTCTTCTATCTTGTTTTTTCCTGTCTTCTTATCTGCTGTTTTCCCCTTCCATCACACTGTAGCCACAGTAAATTTACTATCTTCTCGGTGCAAGAGGAACTCCCTTTCGTTTAAGACTAGAAGTAATGTATTCTAGTGATCTCCCAGTTGCTTAGGATGTCCCAGTCTTTGTTCTTTACTAGATGAAATTCAGGGTTTTTAATTTCAATTTTCCTTAATAGGGCCAGGGCGGATTTTAGAGCTAGCTCTTTATCCCCTCAACTTCCAAAACTTCACTTTCACACTACGTCAAAACTTATGCAAGTTCATACCGCTTTTCGCATAAGTTAGTTTAATGTTTTCTGCAGTACCCAGTTAAGTGGATCATATTTAGTTTGTGTTGGTTATTGACTTGCTCGGCCATATTTTCCTCATTAATCATGATCTTTAAGTCTGCCTCTGAAGACTTTAGATGGAAGGACAAACATGTGCTGTGATACCGTTTCCTCTACTTGCTCTGTCCTAGCTGTAGGGATAAAGAGTTGAGTTGGGTTCTTGAGTTGAGTATTTGCCTACTTCTGGAAATCCTGTGTACATGACATTCTCTCCTACTACACTAACAAGACCTGAGGCTAGACTGGGGTTTTTGTTGATACTGTTAGTATTTTCCATTTATGTTATTACTAACAAGAAAAATCAAAGCAAATGAAAGTTTCTATTTGAATCAGATTTAAAGTGCTCTTCCTTGAGATAGGGTTCAAAATACAATGGAAAATATTCATTTCTTCTCACTTTAAAGGTAATTTGATATCTTGTTTTACTAATATACATAAAAGCTAGTTGTGATTATCAGCAGATTTATAGTATCAGAATAATATAATGAAATTATAGTAGTTATGATTATTCTTTCTATTGATTTACTTTTTTCCCTGTACAAGTAAAGCTGATACTGAAAAGTAACTGCAAAAAGTTGTGTTAAGGAAGCACAACTCAGAAACAAACATACTAGTTTTTCCTATCATAGTACTTATCTCTACTATCCATTAAGTAAATTTTATGTAGCAAAAAACAGAACCAGAGGTGAGTTGAATGTTTTAATTAACTGGTTTTTTAATATATTTAACATCTCAATTAGAATTCTGTTCTCCATGTTATTACATTTTCTATTTCTACTTTCAACTTGCAGTATTTAAAATTCAATAAGATGTTAAGAGATAAGCCAGAAATGTTGACTATTATAGCAGCCTAGGAGATTTAGTTAATCTGACCTAGATGTTCTTTTGATGATTGAGATACACACACACACACACACACACACACACACACACACGTGAAAACAGTTCTCAATTTCAAAATGAAACATGGGAAGATCTGCTCTTAAGTCAGCTGCTCAGGGAGATTAATCAGCCACAAACAAGAGTTTGCCATGAGAGTTGTGCCATTTAGACATTTGGCATTTGGATCAGCAGTAATATTGAAAGTTGTAACTGAATGTATCTCTTAACATTTTGCCATGTTTGCCATGTTAAAAATTTTTCAAGGACATTTTGTATACATTGATGTTGGTCTCATTTCCAGTGTAATGCATGTGAAACAAACATGTGAGGAAACACTTCAACAAAAATTATGAATGTACCTATTAATGGTACTTGAAAATATATTTCAATCTTTAAATTAAGTCAGCATTTATTTCTTGTCTCCCAAAATGTTGATAGTTGCATGGTTAGAATGAGAATGCTTACACAGTTTACACTGTACTGGTTTTTCTGTCATAGCTGCAAGATGTTAGTTTCTGCTTCCGTTCTTAATTTTACATTATATAATGTTATTTTTTAAAGTAAGAAATAATGAAGATGCCAGGTATGTTGGCATGCACTTCATTAGTCCCAGTATATGAGAGGCTGAGGTAGGAGAATTGCTTGAGTCCAAGAGCTCATGGCTAGCCTGGGCATTGTTGTGAGAACCTGCCTTGCTGCTGCTGATGATGATGATTGATGATACTCATAAACAAGAGATCAGACTCAACCTGTTTTCATCAATAGAGCCAAGTCGAGAAAGAAGGAAAAGTTAATTCCTCTGTACTGGAGCAGCCAGTGCTTATGAGTATGCAGTGGTTTTATCATAATGCTGTGATTAAAATGTAGTATTTAGTGGTGAAATGCTCTTAGAGATGATGAAAATTTTGTAGTTGGAGGGATAAATCCTTAGAATTATGTTGGAATGGCTTGTCTGTTATTCCACTATCCAGCTTTGTGAAATAAGCCAGTTGACTAAACCTTAGGTAACTTCTAATTGAGGATGTAACATATGTTGTAATTATTAAAGTAAGTTAACACTGTGAACAAATTTCAAGAATTTAGCTTGTGTACTTTTTAAACATCTAGTTTTTGGTGCTACACAGCATTTCTGGTAGATTACTTTTATCACAGTATGTTCTTTTTTCTTTTTTTTTTTTTTTTTGATACTGGGGATCAAACTCAGGACCTTGTGCTTGCAAGGCAGGTGGTAGAACCACTGAGCTAAATCCCTGGCCTAATCACAGTATATTCTACAAACCATGTTTTTTTAAAAAATGGAAAGCCATTTTTCTGACAATTATTATTCTATATAACATACTATATTATTCTGTATAACATTATTCTATATAACATACTAATAATTTTTATCTCCTGATTCTGTTAGAATCTGAAAGAATTGTGTGTTTGTGGGGAGGGGGCACACTTGTGAGCAAGTGAGAGCATGCATACACAAGTGCTTAATTTGAAGTTGATTTAGTTCCTCACTTCTTGAACTAAAATATTTATTACAGATTTATGAAATGAATACTGACCTGCAAAGCAGCGTCTTGAAGTAAACTGAATCTTCTAGAAATAGGTTACGTGTGGGTTACATTTTATGCACTCTTCTAATCCTAATTAAAGTTCTTTGCTAACAGTGGGATTAAATTATAGGTTTCTTTTGGTATATATGCTTGGCAGCAGATTCATTAGAAGAAAAGCTCTTTGTCTTTGAGGAAAAATTAATGTTTAAATAATAAGCCTTACCATATATGTTGTGTGATTATTTTTCAGACTCCAGGCATTAGAGCGCGACCTACAAAACTTCAGTGGTTTTGTGATAGATGTATCACTAATAATAAGGTTTGTGTTTAATTTCTGATGTCTCATGCATTTAAAACTATTAGTAGCAAATATCATATATGTCATACGACCATTTGGAGATGTCAGGGTATGGGAGCAGTATGGAAGCATTGTTATCTTGGTTGTTCTGCCAGTAAGTGATAGCTGCTTTCTTCCTGCAATGCAGTAGAAATTCTAAAAAATGTTAACCTGGGCCCTGAAGATGTTAACTTGATTTCTCCTCACTGACTTGTGCAGGCTGATTCCTTGCTTGGCAGTTAAGCCTGCATCAGTCCTGGGTGCCTGCAGGAGGGCCATGAAGGCTAGCAGAATTCCTACTCTCCCTGTGCTCTGGTGCAGTAGCTGTTCACATCATGCCAACTAAAAGCCACAGGGAAAGGAGTGGAATGTGGAGTATTTTATTAATGAAAGATGTACATTACTGCTTTCTCTCCATCCTGTTTTCTGCCCCAGGCATCTTTAAATTTCTAAAATGTACATTTGTGACAGTTTCTAAAACCAGATGGTTACTGTTTTGTGTTCTTGACTTTAAAGGGTCCTTTATCACTTTAATTGTTTTTTTTAAGGAAAGAAATTGTTTTGTTTATTTATTTAAAAAAATTTTTTTGGTACCAGGGATCGAACTTGGGTCCTTGTGCTTGCACAGCAGGCGGCAAAATCACTGAGCTAAATCCCCAGCCCCTGTTTTGTTTATTGTGGTAAAATATACAAAGCATAAAATTGGTCATTTTAACCATTTTTACATGTACAGTTCAGTGACAGTAAGTATATTCATCTTGTGCTCAGCCCTTTAACTTTTTTAGTTAACCTGCCTAATGAGTAAAGCTATTTAAAGGTTTATTCACTTGCTATTTGTTGACTATAAAATAAATCTTTTATGTAATATAAATCTGTTAATCTTTATTTTTAAGAGGGAAGCTCTGGAAAAATTAGTGGAGTTGACGCAAAACCTGTTTGAATGTGATAGAGACCAGCTGTACTACAGTCTGCTAAAGCTATACAGTAAGTGACATGGCTATTGCTCAAGTTTTCATTCATTTATTCTGTTGAAGACAGTGGTAGGAAAGGAGTATCGGGTTTTCAAGATGCTCCAGGGGTTATCAAATGAGTCTTCAGCAGGGGCTAAAGTGGAGGCTACACTGAATTTTGTCTCAGAGAGTTGTATTTTATCACTAGACACTGTAATCTTTCTACTTTTTGGCATTCTTACCACAGTAATGAAAAAGTGAGGAAGCCTTCATGCTCACTGGTTCTCCACCTTTCCTCTAAGTTCTTTGCTGCACTGATTGTCGATACTCCCCCTCCTCTTCAGAAAGCTCCTCAGCTGCCATTCTCTGTTGCTCAGTCAGAAGTTGCTGAAATCCCTCTGTAGACAGTTCCTCTGAGTGTTCCTCCACCAGTTCCTCAGCATCACCACTGTGTACCTGCAAGCCTATGAACTCTGCTATAGTGACAATGTCCTCAACCACAGGGTCAGTTGAAGGTCCAAGCTCCTCTACACAGCCTTCAAAATCTCTCCTGTATACAGGCAGATCTCAGTGTCCTTAGAGAGACATTGGCCCAGGATTTCTCAATTAACCCTACACAGGAAAGGATGTTGTAATGTACCTTCCAGAGCTCTAAGGGTTAAATCTGTATCTGAGACCATCTGGAAGCACAAGTGGCCGGCATTTAGGTCATAAATGAAGACTTTGGTCATTAAGTTAAAACTAAAATTTCTATTGAATGTTCATATGTCATGCCACTTGTAAGTCAAAGGTCCACTGTATATCTTTGCAGAAAGATGCATATCTATGTACAAAATCATTGCTAAACAGTTTCTTTAATAAGACTATATCCAGTTATATATCACATTTTTCTCTATTTAATCACCTACAAATGATTAATATTCTGAATGGATGTACAGTACATTTTACTCAACCGGTCTCGCTGGACATTTGAGTGAATGGATTTTAGTTTTCCATATTAAAAAACAACCCCATTTTATTTATCTTGGTACCTTTCTTTGTTTACTCCCTTGCTTCCATATAATTGAGTCCTTAGTATTTGTATTAAGAGTAAGGAATGATTGAAGTTTCTGATACTTTTGACCTCTGCTATCAAATATTACTCTAATACATTTATACCAGTATCCATATTTGGGAGTTTACAGTCTCTTAGGATATTTGAGTGAAGGGGAATAATACTGAGAATAGTCAATGGTACTTCATAGATATTTGATCTAGATTTATTGTTCTCTTTTTGTTGCAAATTTTAATTCACTACGTATAAATAGCAGTGAATAATTTGATTGATTTGTCATTTTGAACTTGTGTTATCATTTACCTCTTGATGATCTAAGTAAAATAAGACTTGCTTTAAATTTTTCACTTCAAAAATTTTTGGTTGTATTGAAGTACACACTTCATTGTGGGATTCTTAAAACTTTGGTTTGAATTATCAAATTCTTACACAGTCCTAAAATTGTTACTGAATGTGTAGAACTAAAAGTATTATGTTTTAGGTATTATTAAATAGTAGATATAATATGAATTTGGGTGCTAATTCACCCTTCCCACTTTTTCTTCCATTTGAAGAACTATTTCATGCTCAAAATGTAATTATATGTAAACTTAAAACCAACATAAAATTTTTCTGTTTTATATTAAAATTTTTTATATTAAAATAGTTAAGCATTTAATGTAGTCCTCAAAGAACCTCCATTCAAAAGAAGAGTATGTATGAAGCCCTTACCATGCTAACCCTTGCAGTAGGCACCGCAGGTATAAGGGTATTGCTTTGCAGAGAGAGGGCATGAGAACAACTATGAGATTGTAGGAGGGACAGTGGAAGTCCAAGGAAGGCTGAGAGGTAGCCAACCACACAAGCATCTTTTTCCCATTTGGAAGAACTTTTAATACTTTTTGTTTTTAAGAAATGAGACCAAGAAAAGAGAAAACTTGAGGTTCATCCTAAAATTTCTTTTAGGGGTAAGCAGTCTCTGAGATGAAAGCATTTTCGTTACCTTAATCCCTCCATCTAATCTAATGGACTCATAGCTTCAGTTGCTTCTTGCTCTATATTTGAGCCAGTAGTCTTTAGGAGCTCAACAGGATCTGCGTACAAATTTAGGACTCTGGAAGACAGTGGAATCTTTATAGGGAAGTATACTTAAGCCTATTTGTATGCTTCCCACCTTCTTGGATGTAATAATAGCTCTACTCATTTTTCTTTCTGAAGAAACAGCAAGCTATCCACTTTTGTAGTCTCTTCTCCATTTTGTCCTCTGACTGCTTAAATAGTTACATGAACAAAGTTCATGTGAAATACTACATATGGTTAGAAATGATGTATGAAATGTGGTTCTATTATACTTAACCTATAGTAAAGAATTTCTTGCCTGGTATGGTGGCACACGCCTGTAATCCCAGCATTCAGGAGGCTGAGGCACAGGAGAATTGCTATGAGTTCGAGGCCAGCCTGGGCTGTACAGCAAGACTCTGTCTCAAAACAAAGAATTTCTTTTTATTTTAATTTTGATTGGTACATGTACATAACACATCTTAACTCTTTTTTACATCCTCTTCTCCTTAAATTGGGAATTTCTGAAAAAATAATTTGACTTTATAGGAATTTTTTGTGAGCTGTTCTTTTTTTGTGATGTGACTTCAGCCCTCAAAAGGAGTTAGATTTAGTTATTTTTTTGAGTGTTGCTTGAAACAGCTTTCCTTTATTTGATCATTCTCATGCACACAAAGATAATTAATTTTGCTGTGAAGTGCAACGTAATTCTAAAACATGTACAGAACAACTGAATAGACCTCAGTGGTTTGTCATAGCCATAAAACCCACAGAAGTATTCATACATTTAAATATTAGTTGTTCTAAAACTGCTTTAATTTCCTATAAGTTCATACATGATCTGTCAGAAGAATCTGTCAGAAGTCAATCTTTAGTTCTTTCTGATGTATTTTGACCTTTTTTTTTCTGGTACAGGGGACTGAACCCAGGGCCTTTACACTGCCCTACATCTCTAGCTCTTTTTTGTATTTTTTTATTTTAAGATAGTGTCTCACTAAGTTGCCCAGGCTGGGTAACATATGATCCTTCTTCATTAGCCTTCCACAGTACTACAAATACTTTGACCTTTCCTTGTGGCAGTCTTTAAAAATTAGCTCCTAGAATCTATAATATGTATTACATGAAACAACTCACCAGTAGAGGGAAAATCTTGTTTTTCTAAATGACATATTGTCACCCTCTTGTCAGATATTTTCTGATGTCCTAAGTACTTCAGTTTTTTTCTTTACACATACAAAGTAAAGGTTATTCTTTATACTCTATTCAAATGCCTTACATTTGTAATTTTGCATTAAAAATTTATAGAATCTATTTTTTTTTAAATTTACAGCCTCACATTTATTCTGCCTTGAGTTATCTGTTACTTCTTCAAGTATGCATAGTCATTGATATTTCTTTTCACAATGTGATCTTTTTTCCCTATATTATAACATGAGTAAAATGAATATAGTCTAAGTATTAAAGATTCAAACAATATTACTATATTAGCTAAATGTGAAAATGTTACTGTCCACTGCCATCTCCAAACTCTCTGTCAATTACCATCCTTCCAATTTTCTCTACATTTATATCTGTATATTTTTATAAATGCATCTGTTGTTTTGATTATTTTATATTCTATTTTGATTATATTCTAATTTCTCATACATTTTGTTCAGTGATTTTATCTTTTTTTACTTAATGATATGAAATAAATGTATAGAAAAAGATAAATACTTAGCTTCCTTTAATTTTTTTTTTTTTTGGTACCAGGGATTGAACTCCGGACCTTGTGCTTGCGAGGCAGGCAATGGAAACACTGAGCTAAATCCCCGGCCCTTAATTACTAATTTTTAAGTGCTGGTGTCCTTGAACCTCCAAACTTGATGGGTGATTTTTTTTTTTTTTAAGAATGTGTGTGTATGTGTGTGTTTTGTTTTAGCCATTGTTCTTTTTTGTGTTCATAGGAAGTTTTTTTTTTTTCTGGTACTGGGGATTAAGCTTGGGCTTGCGAGGCAGGCAGTGGAACCACTAAATCCCCGGCCCTTTTGTGTTCAAATTATCCCATCTTTGGCCCTTCCCTTTGGCTCCTGTATCATCTGACAAACCCCTATTAGTCTTTGGTAGCTCGTTTTCAGAAAAAGCAAGCCAGTCCAGGCTTCTGTTGTTCAGTTCCCATCCCACACCTATAATAAGGGAATGATGATGCTTACACACCATAAGGTATGATTGACAAGTGGGAAATTTAGAAGTAGCTCCATCCTATCGGTAGTATGTACAAACTATCAGTCTTATAATTAAAACTCTTAGTTTCATACCATAGTGAACATGTATGAAGTGCTAACTCTCACACCCTAGTCATATGTAGCCTAAAATATTGCCCACAATTATATCTATTCTTAAAATATTCACTACTGGTTTGAAAAGTCTTTGGTTTTACAGCTTAAGAGTTCTCAGAAGTCATTGAGAATAGTCCCTCTGCTTGTTCTTTAAAGAGGAAAGTGTGGGATCCAGGAAAGATAGATTGAAGAGGCAGTTCCCTGGTGCCAGCCCAAGTTTGTGAATAACAAGTATAATCATTGTTGTCTCAGTGGAAAGGATTTTAAGATCACAGGAGATAACTATGGCCTTTCTTTGCCTTTTATAAAATTTTACACACAGCTACAGATTTTGATACACTGATTGGTTTGTATCAAATTCTGAATGTAGTGATCCAGGTACATTTCTAGGAAATTGTTTTCCTTTTACAAAAAATACTGAGTTATTTCATGTTGTATTATACTAATTCCCATCTGTATTTTTAAATACTTTCTTTTTTGCAAATTGCTAGTCCTTTTTAACAGGTGTGTCTAATATTTTTATCCTCCCAAAGTAGGTTTTAATATCATTTTTTTGCCTTGTAAAAAAATGTTTACCTTAGAATTTTTGCCGTTTGAAGGTTGTAAATCATTCTCCTAGCTTTTCTTCATTGTGTGGATTATTTTGTTTGCTTAAAAACTACCTTAGCAGTACTATTACTGATATTTGGAGACATTACCGGACTGTCTTCCCCACTATCCAAAGTACCCTTCAGCAGAGACTGGAAAGAAGTGTTGCACTTTTTTCTGTAGACAGAATAAAGATTCTTGGGCTTGTTTTTTGCTTTGTTTTGTTTTTAAGCCTAGTAAGTTTTATACTTCTCTCCTTTTATGAACTTGAATTTTTATAGTACTATCTTAATGAAAAACAAGCATAATTAGCTTATAAGAGTCTTGGGGTTTTTTGTTTGTTTGTTTTTGTTTTTCAGTACCAATGATCAAACTCGGGACCTTATGCTTGTGAGGCAGATGTGGTGCCACTGAGCTACATCCCCAGCCCTCCATTACTTACTTTAAAAAGACAAATCTTATCAATGTGATTTTCAGACTGTTACAGTATGGGTGAATTTTTTATCTTTACAGTTTTTTAACTGGTAAGGTATTTCTCTTGTGAGGCAGGCAGCGGAACCACTGAGCTAAATCCCCAGCACAGGTAAAGTATTTCTAAGGATTATAATTCAAAAGATTTACAGAATAGTCTCTTCCTCACCTTTGGTTTCTCCCCCCTGAAGGCAGCATTTGGAGTAATGCTTCCTTCAACATCAAATAAAAAGTTCTAAATTTTCAGGAATTCTGTTTAACTTCATTAATTTCTGTTCAATCAAATTTTATAGAAAAAAATGGTGACTGGCAAAGAGCTGATGCTATCTGGAATAAAATGCAAGAAGAAAATATTATTCCTCGTGAGAAGACATTAAGATTATTAGCAGACATTCTAAAAGACAATAATCAAGAAGTTCCTTTTGATGTTCCTGAGGTAATTTGTTTTCAGCATGAGTATAAGAGTTTTCATTATCAGTATGTCTTTTTTGTTTTTTGTGGTACCGGGAATCGAACTCAGGACCTTGTGTTTGCCAGGAGGTGCAGTGCTGCTGAGCTGCATCCTTGGCCTTTGTTGTCAGTATGTCTTTAAGTTGTAGATTAACCCACTTCTTTACTGGAAAAGATCACTATATTTCTAAATTTTTGTTTAATTGAATAATTTTGTTTTAAAGTTGTGGTATGATGATGATGAACATTCCCCAAATTCATCACCCCGACCTGTAGACCCTCTTACTGAGAAAGCGGTGTTGAATGCCTGCCAGCAGCGGAAAAACCGAGGTAAATATACCCACTGGGTCTTGTTTATAACAGCAACATGGAGTTTTGTTTGGCCCAGCAAGCCAGCGGTGCTCTAGGATGGATGAAACGTAAATTTCATAATACATATTTTTTAATTAAAAAGATATTAAAATAGCACAATTTGAAAGATTTTGGTATCAAGTGAGTGATGAGTGCTACTACAGATTTACTCATTTTTTTAAGGCATTGATAATGGTATTATGATTTATAGGACAGTACCTTTAAATTTTGTTTTTGTTTTTTTGGTACAGGGGATTGAACTCAGGTCCTTGAGCTCATGAGGCAGGTGGTGGAACCACTAAGCTAAATTCCTGGCCCAGTACCTTTAAATTTTGAGATCAGTGTGAAATATTGATAGATGAAAAAAATGTCAAAATTTCTGAAGATTTTTGAATTCTTAAGCCATGAGAATCGAAGGAAGCATCTGGGTGTGTTGGCTCATGCCTCTAATCCCAGCGCTCTGCTCGGCTGAGGCACAAAGATGGCAGTTTTGACCCCAGCCTGGGCAGCTGGTGACTACAAAATAGTCTGAGGATGTAGCTCAGTGTGAAGGCCCAGGGTTCAGGTCCTAGTACCTAATAAAAAGTAAGCAAATCCTGCCAAATGTTGTTGTTGTTGTTGTTATTATTATTATGTTGCTGCTGTTGTTGTTGTTGTTGTGGTCATATGGAAAGTGAGGCTCATAGTACTACTTTTGTATATTTTTCTGCACATTTGAATTTTAATAAAACCTATTAGCATGTGGGTTTTTTGGGGGTTTTTTTTTGTTTTTTTGGTAGTGGGGATCGAACTCGGAACCTTGCGTTTGCAAGGCAGGCGGCAGAACCATTGAGCTAAATCCCCGGCCCTAGCGTGTGTTTTTCTTTGGGGTTTTTTTTTTTTTTTTTTTTTGGTACCAGGGATCAAACTCAGGACCTTGCGCTTGCGCAGCAGGCGCTGGAGCCACTGAGCTAAATCCCTGGCCTGCATGTGTTTTTCTTCAAGCGAGAATTATATAGTCACATGTCCCTTAATAATGGAGGTACTCATCACTATGCAAATATCATGAGTATCCTTACACTAAGAAGGACACAACACCACTAGATGGTACAATCTAATAAGTAAGGCCTGCGGCATTATCTGAAATGTTATGTGGCACATGACTATACTTTGAAAATAACATCAGTTTTGAGGGTCAAATGCTGTAACTTAATGCAGAAAAAATGATTAGGGCATTAACTATCATATTAGTGTTTGTGTTAAAGTGAACAAGCAATATCTCAAAGTTGGAGTTATTTTTCTTGTTCTTTTTTTTCCTCAGTAAACGTTCCTGAAGATAGCTCTACCTCTATTATGACTAGTTTAAAATTTAACTATTAAGAAAATATATGCAACAGGGTTTTTTATTCTTATATTGACAGTATCTATTCAGTAGGGGCCCTATTCCATAGGAAGGAATCAGTGTAGAACTGTATAGAATTACTTAAATTTCCTGACAACTGGAAATTTAACTAAAACTGACATAAAATGTGTGAAGTAAATATCAGCTAAATTCTTATACTTTCTCAGTTGCCCAAAGTGTAACTTTTAATTTTCCCGAGTCATTTTTCTTTGCTGCATATGCAGTCTGTCTTTGAGTCTTTCACAATGTATCTGTTAAAGCTAAATATAAAATTAATTATCCTTTTCCATACTGTCTACCCTGATGAAATTCTGATTTAGCTAAAATGAATATAAGGTTAGTATATAGAGATTCTAAAACTCTGTTACCTTTTTAAAAATTGTTTTTAAATGAAAGCATTTAAATATAATATTAATTGGTTTCCTTTTGTTAATCAGAGTTTTTAGTTGTTTTTTGGGGGGTTTTTTTGGTACCGGGGATCGAACTCAGGACTTTGCGCTTGCAAGGCAGGCACCGGAACCACTGAGCTAAATCCCCAGCCCCAGTTTTTAGTTTTTGTGTGTCTTAGGATTCAAATACATTTAGCATGATATAAATGCTTTGAAAGTTGAATGCTTGAATTAGTATTTTTCTGATAGTTCTTAAAGGTATATTGTGATTTTTGCACCAGAAACCTGTGGTGAATGGGTTTGGTGTATTATAGTAGCAAAAAGTAGACAATCACAGATAAGCAAGGAGGAATTCTATTAGTATTTACAACTTCATCTGATATCAAGTCTACTCAATGTATTTTCCTACCAGTTTTTTTTTTTTTTCTATACCAGCGATGGAACTCAGGACTTTGCGCTTGCCTGGCAGGTGTGGCACCACTGAGCTACATCCCCAGCCCTAGCCATACCAATTTAATGTGAATGCTACAGTCTTGAAGGACAACAATTAGAGTTTCTGGATTTATTTTGTTAATTTTAAATATTTAAATAGTACATATTAAGTATCTTTATTTAACAACTAATAAACAGTTACATGTGGTTATTAAGATGTAGACAATAATGACTTTTTTTGAGACAGGTCTTCCCTAAGTAGTAGTTCAGACTGGCCTTGGATTCACTCTGTAGCCCAGGCTGGCCTCAAACTCAAGATGATCCTCCTGCCTCAGCCTCTCAAGGACTGGGACTACAGGCATCCACCACCTCACCTGACTACATTAAATCTTTTTACCAGCCTTTAAAAAGGAAATATGTGAATTGTAGTGGTGCATGCCCATAATCCAGTCATGTATCATGACTTAAAATAGCTATAGCAAAGCTATGCTGTGACTTTGTTCTTAAGTTTGTGATGGATTCATACTGGCACTAAAATTAAGAGATGATTAATAGTAGAATTCTGTCTTGCTTATCTGTGTTTTTATTTTATACTTTTTTTGCCAATACTCTGGAACATACAGGTGTTTACAAACAAAAAGCCCTAGTGCAAGGCATTTGGTAATTTAATACTAACAGAGTATTCTTTGGAAAGCTTAATATTTGATTAACTTGTACCACAATTACTGTTCACTTCCTAAAACTATTCTCTTTCGTTAGGATGCCAATATAATTATTGTCATATCTTGTCTCTTTTTTTCCTCCCAGTTTGACTGGAAGAGATAAATAAGTTTTTGACCTTGCCACTTCATTTAGTTAAGGGAATGATACAAATTCGCCTGGCTTACACATATAAGCATAACAGTTTTTGCCTGTTCAGGAACCTCTATGTAGTACAGAATGTTCTTCTGAACATTAATGTCATGTCCATTCCTACTTATATGTTCTGTTCTTTACATTGAGCCTTATTATGTTCATAGAAGGCCATATGTGATAGTTGAGTTATGCTCTGTCTCTGTTATGATGTGTTTATACACATGGGAGAGTAGAATATAGTTTCAGGTAGCTGTTTATAGCCAAGCAATTTTATTTTAGAAAAGTAAGTGACTGAAAAGTGTAGTTACTTCTCTTTTGGTAACATCTTTTCATTCACTGACAGTTATTGTGAACAAGTGAAATAAAACTGTTAATCAGTCAAACAAATGTTGCCTAGTTTACTTGTTAGATATCTGTATATTTGAAAATTGTATGTTTTTGTATAAGTCCTGTCGTAGCCAAATAATTTGATCTCCTAATTTTAGAATTATAGGTTATATTCACTTTAATGCTATTGTGTTGAAATGTTAACCATTGTAACCACCCACTTATAGATTAAAGATTGCTTTAAAATGAATCTTTTGCTCCCCTCAGTCTAAATTATACCTCTGGTTTATTTGGACTTTAACACATTTTACTATTTATTTTGAAACTGGTATCATCTTTTCATAAATTTAGAAGAGCTGTTTCTCATTTTTATTGGCATGAACATAATTTATTGACTTAAGAAAGCTAGTATGAAAAATAATATAAAAAGGAAATCCTTTCGGGAACCATCCATTTTGATGAAATAGTAGTTTCCAAAACTGTGGTTTTGAGGAATGATGTTACCTGCTTGTTCAGTCAGTGCATGTCAGTGGAGTGGTGATGGTGAGTGGGTAAAGAAAAAAATGTGTGAATTTAAGGATTTGGTATGGGGACATTTTTCCTTCCCTTTTTGTCATTTCAAAATAATGCCTTCTTATTTTTTGTTTTTGTATTCTTATAGATGCATATAATATTTTCCTGAGAGCACAAAGACAAAACATTATATTCAGCAGTGACACTTACAGAACTCTTACACAATTACTGCTGTTGACGGACAATTTCACACAAGCGATAGAAGTGAAAATGGCGTAAGTATTAGACCAGTTTTACCTTCCACTTTAAATATTGGCTACCACTAGGATTTTTAAAGATGTATTGTTATAATGGCGATTGATTAGCCTCAGCTACCCATACAAGAGATATTTAAAGTTAACTCATTTGTAAGTTATTTTTTAACTTAAAAATATTTGCTGTCACTGGTCTTACAGGGTTATATACGTTTTATTAAAACTCATTTTAGATATTCATGTGTGGAAAAGCAAAAATTTTATTATATTCTGTTGCTTGTTTGGCTCCTAACTCCATCTGTCTTTTGTGGTGGGAGCAGCCTGATGTAACGAAGATACCAAAGGCTTTGGACTTAGACCAGGGTTTGAATCTTACTTGAAAGCAGGATGACCTTGGGAAAAACCACCTGCTTTCTCTGAGCCTCAATTTTTACAAATAATTATACTAAAATTTTCTTCAAGATACTGAGAATGAGGGAGAGAAAACATAGACATTCAGCAAACTTTGTGTGTCTTTACTTTTTTTACCTTTGTGCTTTTTGGTTCAGTTTTGGGATTTTTAAAAAAATCTGTTTGGGTGGTAATGATAGCCGTGGTTTTTTGTGTGTTGGGTTAAACCCCTAGATCAGTGGTGTCAAACCTATGGCACATGTGTTGTTTTTCTTTGAAGGTAAAAGATGTTGATGATGAGTTGTTTTTTCTAAACTAAAACCTCAGTATTCAGGTTTAATTGCAATGCTGGCACTTTGTGATAAATATGTGGGTTTTGGGTTGAAATTTGGGCACTTGTTTCTAAAAGGTCCACCATCACTGCTCTATATTATGATACGTTGCTAATCAAAACAGGAGTAAAGTTTCCTTATTGGTGTGTGTATTGTCTGGCTCTGTCATCTTACCTCACATTACTGTTGAGTTATTAACCAATAATGGCCTAAAAAGGAGGAGCTTGAGATCACCTGTTTTGGAACATAGACATGTCCTGTTGAAGATGAACTGCTTTATTTCTGACAGGAAGGTTCAAACTTTTCCTGATACACTGAATTTTGAAATCTCTCTCAGCCAATAATATATAATCACAGCCCTTCTATTTCCCCTTATATTCACGAACTATAAAGTCCAAGTTTAATTTAATGTGTACATCACCCATGAAACCATCACCACCATCAAGGCCACAAACATATCCTTCACCTCCCAAAGTTTCCCCCACCTTCTCTATAATTATTATTTGTGTGTGTGTGTGTGTGTGTGTGTGTGTCCTAGTTTTAAGTATATAGTAAAGTATCGTTAGACACTGTGCTGTGTAGAGCTCCAGAACATAACCTTTCATAACATAACCTTTGCACCCTTTAATCATCATCTCCCTATTTTCCTCTATCCAGCCCCTAACAACTGTTACTCTGCTCTCTGCTTCTGAGATTCACTTTTTAGATTCCACATAAAAATTGAGACTTTCTGTATGGTTGAGAACACTTTTATTTTAGCTGTGTTCTCCCACCAGGTTTATCATATAGCTGCCTTACCCATGTAGCTGTTTGAGATCCAAAGCCTCAGATCAGCCTGGCGATTGGATGCATGTCATTTTTCTTGAGTCAATAAAATGTTGTATCTACCTATGCAGAATTGTAACTGAAGTTAAATCTATTTTGAGTAACTTTTAAAATAACTCTGGACTGGGAAATTCAGAAGTAGAAGTTCAAGTTCCATTTATACTGTCCAACTTAATTGTGTTATTGCAGGCATGTCACAAATCTTTCAAGATTCATTTCCTAGTTTATGACCAATACTAGACTAGGTTGTCTCTTTTCCCTTCCAGCTCTGTATCAGTGATCAAAATAAAAAAGAATTAGCCAGATCACCACATGAGCTACTGTACAATGCAGGGAGCAGTAGCTGCTAATATTGTTTGAGGTCCTGACACAATCCATGAATAGCAATCTATTGTTACAGCTATCTGTGTAATGCCACTTGATCAATCTCAAGAGGAATAGTTTTCCTATAAACTAAAAAAATGCCATCTTTGGTTTTTGCTGTCTCTAATGTGTTACAGATGTACTTAACTTCTGAAGTTTTTACTGACAAGGTCAGTGACCATTCCCAACAAATAATGAAACCTCAAAAGTAACAGTAACAGCTGCCTTGAAATTTTTTAAAGAAACCAACCTTCTTTCATCTTTACTTTCTTCATGTTTCAAAGTAAAAATTTACTGACAGTGAATTGTTTCAAGGAAAGTAAACTGCTTAAAGAGCAGTGAGGGAAATGAATTATTTTAAATCTCTGATAACTAAACATTATTGTTAGAGAAGTTGAGAATCATATTATAGCCCTGCTTTATCTTTTGAGAGTGGTGCATCATTTTCTCTTGGCCTTACTAGCTTTCTATTTCTTTCTATCTAGAAATGTTTTCCAAAGTAATGCAAATTATGAACCCTGACTAATGTCCCATGCACTTGTTATATAAACACAATCTATAGTTCATTTCTTACTCTGAAATGTCTAATGTCATCTGTAGTACTGTCTTTTTTGGTTAAGATAGATTTTTTTTTTTTTGGTACCGGGGATTGAACTCGGGTCTTCGCACTTGCACAGCAGGCAGTGAAACCACTGAGCTAAATCCCCGGCCCCTAGATAGATTAATTTTTGTAGTTGATTATAAGTTGAGTGATTGATACCCTTCTCCCTCCCTGTAATTATTTTCCTTTACTTTGGCTGCTCTAAAAAGAAACAAAAAGGTTTAGAATTGTGTCCTATCCAATCCAGTAGTCACTAGCCATATATGAGGCTATAAATTAAATTAAATATAATTGAATTATGTTATTAAATATAATTGAATTATATTATTCTGTTCCTCTTGTTATGGTAGCCATATAGCCATATGTGCCTAGTGACCAACCTAGGCAGCTCACAGAAAGAATATTCCCATCACCACAGAAAGTTTGGTTTGATAGCACTGGAAAAAATGAGACTAATAAATTTCTTTTATTGTATTATATGAATGATTCCAATGCAAAGGTCTCTGTCAGTAACTTTTTGTAGTTTTTCTCTTCTTGCCAGTTTGGATTATATTTTGATTGTGATTGGTCTCTTTTTACATTTATAAGATAGGGTTTTTTTCTTGATATTTATCTCTGCTTTCATATTTGTAATGAGTAGGTAGCTTCTTGAGATAGGAAGAGATTGTTGATAAAAGAAAAATATTACATGTTTGGGGTTTTTGAAAGATTTGTAGTTCATACTTTTTTGTTAAAAGAAATTTTATTACCGTTTTAGAATTTTAGGTAACATTCTTAAGTAAATGTGCCATAAAACATACAATAATATGGACATGAGAAGTGAGCTTTTAATAGTGTGATTTGCTTAATTATGCTGCAGCTTGAGAAAAAAAAACCTTTATTTTATGCACTTTATAGTCTCATACAAGAATTGTTGACTTAAAAGCTTTGACAGATGGGACACAGGGAAAAAGTCAAACTGAGCAATGGGTGCTTTGGTGGGATTAAGAGGATTGGTCACTGAGTTAAGAAAATCCTGTGTCCAGAAACTGCAGGATGAACCTTAGCAGCTGAGAGTGACTGAGAGGATGGGCATGTTGTGGTGTCTTTGGAGGATTTTCATAGGGTTGATGAGAATAATTTAGCACTGACCCTGCTTCCCTGGCAGTCTGCTCACTGTGTGAGCTGGCGTTGGCAGCAGAGTCGTCACTGAGCCCGATAGGCAAATGGCAGCGATTGCTTTTGCTCCTTTTGACCTTTGGAGATTTCCTAATCGGGAGATGAACCCTTGGTGCATTAAGGATGCTGAAATTTCATCACAAGAGTTGTGCAAACAGAAATAGTACCTGGTTGTTAGATTTTGGGTTTGTTTTGTTTTTTAATCCTGTAGGTTCTAGTAAAAGTAAAGCAGTTTTTTACTCCTGATTTTTAAAAAGTTAGGAGTTTTGCTTCAGATTTAATAAGGCTGGGACAAGATTATTGTGTGAAGATTTTTAATTTTAATATAACAACAGTTTTAGTTCTGCCTGTATGTTTAAAAGCTTTAAAAACTGTACATATCTAAATGACAGAAATTTGAAAATTAATCGACCAAATGATATGGTGTTGGCTAGTAATATGCTTTAGTTTATATTTAAAATATACAGTGCTGAAAATAAATGCTCATTTGTGTTGCTGGAAGAATAGTTTTACATTTTATAATTATGGTGAATGTAGAAGAAAGAGGAAAAAGTATCCCACTTAGGATACAGCTGAACAATGTAGGGCATGCAGTTATTTTAGTCATCTAATGTGTCAGCATTCAAGAATCTGAACCGATTGTTTAAAAAAATCTTGTACTTTGTTTCTTTTGTTGCTCATTTCCAACTTTGTCATCTGTCAGAATGCAAAAAAAAATTATCCTTCTATAACCATTGACAGGATAACACAAAAGCTGTCTCCAGGTCGATATTTTGCAGCAATATTTTTAACATACGAACAGTAGTTTTTATAATTTCACCTTGGTGCTCAACCATTTATTATCGTATCAGAAGCATGTCAGTAATTCCTTTCTAAATGTCTGCTTCTTTTAGCGCTGAGACCCACATCAAGGGCTTCACACTGAACGATGCTGCCAACAGCTTCCTCATCATAGCGCAAGTTAGGCGGGATTATTTGAAAGGTATGTCACAATGCTTGACCTTTACGTCACATTAATGCCTCTGCAGATTTTTCTTGTAACGCCCTTCGAATACTTGGATAAAGGAGTCCATTTAGCAAATTACCTGCTTATCAAGAGCCTTTTGTGGTAGCTGAGAGACGTAAATTACTGTACATGCATTTATAATACAGCTTGAATATGAATGTACTTGTCATTTGACCACTTAGTCCAGTTTCCATTCCATTTAACACAAGATGGGTTTTCTTAAGATGAATCACAGCTCTTCAGACATGCAAAATTTGTGTTCCAGGACGAGAGAAAGTACAGGCTTTCAAGTGCGTTAAAATTCACAGCACAAGTCATTTTGCTTTGGAAATTAACATACTTTCGAACATCTGAAACAATTCCCAGCAGTTGTTTCTTGCATATTGTGTTGGTTGTGTGTGAGATAGCAAATGTGTTAAATAGAGTGTTAAATGTGTAGGGTTGTGCACCAAATGATTATAATATTGATTTTTAAAACTTAATCTAATACTTTTTTAATAGTTCATAATACCAACAGCCATAAAATACAGTTTAGAGTTTTTAAATGAATGTTAAGAGGGTAACACTAGAATGATGTGGAAATATCTTGAGGAGGGTTGGGATGGAAGGGGCTCGGTGGTTTGGTAGAGGCTGTTTATAGGTTTGCCTAGTGAGGTGGAGTTGGATCTGGAGGTTTTGTGAATGAGCTCCCAAGGGGGACAATAATAACTCTCTTTAGGTAAGAAGCTTTTCATGTTAAGTTTTATGTTGGAATTTTAGCCAATACAATTAACACCACAGTTTTGCTAATACAACAGAACCCATTTAGTATATCTTTAAGGCTGGAGGAGAAGCTCTTTAACTCTTAAATCTGTTACTTGGTTTCTTCCCCTGTCTGTAATGTGTTTCCCTTCTTGCATGTCTATAAAATAATTTCATAGCTCTGAGAGAAAGTTGCACTAATTGTGCGACTTTGGTGTTGGTTGTAATACCTGAACATGCTGGTCCTTAGCTGTCTCCGTAACTAATCAGGACTGAATATGTAAGTGCTGATTTCTCTCTTTGCTACATTTCCACCTCGTCATTCCTCAGGTGACGCCTGCCCATCTAGACATCACTGGACAGCCCTGAATCATAATCCAGTTGTGTGGGGCTTGTTACTAAAACTTTTAAAAGCTTACATTTCCAATAGAAAAGACTGTTGAGCTTATTTTTCGTGTAGAGATGATAAAATAATTTTAAGACACAGAAAAGTTAACTTGCTACTCATAAATAAGCTCATTGTGGTAAATAGCTTTATGTTTCTATAGATGCAAAAAACAATACTATTTTAAGGGTTCATGTTGAGCTCCTATGTTTTATTTTGACTGCTATCCTCTACTTGTATGTCAGGTGCCCTATGAAAACTACAAGAAAGTGCACAAATATAGTTTCTCATTTTCTCCACCATTCAGCTTGAATGGATGGTTGTCTGAGAACAGAAGTGGGGAGCTCAGTGTTCCCCCTGTAGTTCCCCACTCCAACCCCTGGTGCCTAGTCTCAACCTCATGTGGGAGTAAAGCAGTCATCAGGATGGGAATGCTGTTGCCCTGTCCATTTCCACATTGTGCTCCATGGGTGTTGAAAGTTCCTGAGTTTTAAAATTCCTTTTCATTCTTCTGCCCTTCTCTCTTTCAGGTTTCTTTTAGTCAACCCCATTTAAGACAGTAAGAAAAAAGAAAGCCAGATACATCTTAGTGTAGTTTCATAAACATGCTGTGGTAGAATATTAATACCTCATGCATGCGTAGCACCTTTGCAGTATACTCAGTCTCGCTGAGTTATCAAGTAAATGTTGGAATTGGGTAATAGTGGGAAAAGACTTCAGCATAAGTACAGTTGTGTGTGTGTCCTTTAGGTCATTAGCTATGATGACAAATTCTGTATAAAAATATGATTTAGGTCACACAAGCTCTCATACTCCTTGTTAGTCACAAAATGATCTATTCTGCTTGCCCCTCCACTCTCTCATGTACCCATAGATGCAGCCTCGCGGGATGGTTGGACTCAGGTCGGTGTCCAGCAGTATGACTTTGACCTCAGAAAAATATTAAATTCTCTGCCCTAGTAGCTCATCTATAAAAATTAGTACTTACCTCAGAAAGTTGGTTTTGAGTGTATTTTTTGTAGTACTATGTCTGGTATGTAGTAAATTGCTCAACAAATACAGTAAAATGCTCAATAAATTCCAGTTTCCATCATTATATTTTTGTTATTTTGATTCACTGATGGGAAGACTTTCCCAACATTACTACTTAAGATACTAGAAATATTTTATCTGTGTATGACTTCACATTAACAAGACATAATCACACTTATTTTCTGTAGATATTTTTAAAGTAGTATAAAAACACCTTTTGTGAATGTGTGTAAGATTTTATTGAATATGCTTTTTAAGTGACCTATGTGCCCCATTTGAGAATTGCTAGCTTAGGTTATTTATAGATTTGGGGTAATAATAGTTTATTCAGTAATAAAGATTAAATTCATCATGTCTTTTACTATATTGTTTTTAGAGACTGTTTAATTATTACCCTTTCCCGTTCTTCTGTGAAAGATAAGCTGTTCTTATTCAGAAAGCTGCTTTGAGAGTCTTAGTTTTGTCTAGGGTACATTGCTTTAATTGCTATAAAGCTGTGAAGTTTTCTTTGGTAGTGGTAGTGTGATGATTGTTATGCTAAGTATTATTACATCCCCCTCCCATCTACTACTCTGTTTAACATCAGGATTTTGCTACACTTGTAGATAAGTCGGCAAATCAGAACGATATTCCAAATTTATCCACAGTCGAGTACTTAATTGTGATGCTTTAAACAAAATACCATTTGCTATAGCCATGAGAATTGAGTGAGCTTGATTTTCTTTAAAAACTGAATACAAGAAAATATCTGCATGGTGCCTTTTAATGTAAAATAAATCTGTTAGTGTGAAAATTGAGTTTTCCAGTTTGGCTACTTCTGAGTGATAAATCCTGTTTGGACCAGAGAAAGATTTTCCAGAAAAAAAATCTTTCAGATACTAAAATTTTTTTATAATCATTAATCTGAGTTAATAAAAATTGGAAAAGTATGAATCTGGCTAAAAGTTATATATTTTTGGAAACACTTTAATTTTTAACATTCTTCCTTATTTATACTTCTGCATCTATCAACATCATTGAAATTAGTCATAAAATAATGTTACACCTGAATGGAACTCACATTGCCATTCACACTTGTGTTCTCTTCATGGCATAAGTTTCTGTGCTCTTTTTATAGATAATCAAATACTTGTTTAAGATTTCTTATGAAGTATTAATATTTTCTGTAAACTAGAATAAATTATTCATAGGTTTTTGTATACATCCATTGGATGCTCAGATTTAAAAGCTGGTTTTCAAAATGCATTAAAGTCAATATGAATCAAATAAGGAAAACTCTACCCTTTACTCTTCTATTTTAGAGGCTCTAACAACTTTAAAAACAGCCTTGGATCTGGACCAGACTCCTTCTAAGCTATCAGTGACCCGCCTTATCCAGGCGTTTGCCTCTAAGGGTGATGTGCAGAGTGTAGAAGCAATCCAAAAGATGGTCAGTGGACATGACTCCATTGGGCTCTCAGGAATGATTTTCATCAATAACATTGCTTTGGCACAAATAAAGAAGTAAGTATTTTCAAGCTTCTTTGAATGACCATTATATCAGATATCACATTTTACAACTTTTTCTTAGGCCTGTGGAAACCATGTCAACTTAGAGGAAATTTCAGTGCTGATTATTGTTGCTGATTATTTTCCATTTTGAATAATTAATATGTTGAAAATATATTTTATATTTAAGTTAAATCTTAGAATAAACATCAGATTCATAAAACTTCACAGTTGCCAACTTTTCTCATGTATATGTGTATGCGTATACATAGTTGTGTGTGCGTTTGTGTATGTGTGCGTGTGTGTATGTATATATGCATGCCAGGCCTCTTGTCAAAACACTTCTTTACAAAAGTGAAAATGATTTCATTTGTCAGCAATACTTGAGTGCTACTCTACTAGCATATTGTGAAACAGAGGGCCTGGCAAACTTGTACAAAGATGTACATGTCTGGGATTAAGGTTGTAGCTCAGTGGTAGAGCATGTACATAGCATGCACAGGGCCCCAGGGTTCCATACCCAGCATACGCACAAAAAATCATTTCCATATTCCTCACCCAGCCACCTTATCAATCCACATACCCACAAGAAGGGGAGGTATTTAGATGATTTTCTTACTGTTGTCCCTAGATTCCTTGTTGGGAATCATCACTATTTAAGTAAACAGGACTTGATTGTTTTTGTTTTGTTGTTAACCTCACTAGCAAAGTACAAGATCCATAGGGATAAAACAGAATTGACAGTCTTAGAATGCCTTTGAGGAGAAAATGTTCTTCAGTTGTTAATCTTATGTACATTTAATGAGATGTGATATTAAAATATTTGGTGTTTGCAGGATTTTTTGTTGGTTCCTATTTCTTTGAACCCCCAACGTTGTGTTGTATTTTGTTTTTAACCTTTAAAATTATTTCCTTAAATAGAACTTCAGACTTTCCTTTTAATAAGAAGATGGAATTCTTTTAAGTTAGAAGATTAAGGAAAGAAGCTGAATGAATTTTACAAAATTATATACTGTAAACACTTTTATGACATGAAGAACATGTTTATGTTCACTATTAAATAAGTAATATATGAAATCCATAAGAAAAATGTATCAGGATATTCATTTTTAGTTGGAGAATTCTTATTTTTAATACACTAATTTAAGCATAAAATTGATTATTTGGACTTGGAGTATCATAGCTGTAAAATATCAATTATAAATTACCTTAACTAAAAATGTTTGTAGTTGTTTTTCATGATTTGTTCAGTAGACATACATTTGATTTTTTTTTTTTAACATAAAGTTACTATTTTCTGAGAATTTTAATATGGAGTATTTTCCAAATACTCCAGAAAGAAATTTATGTGACTGTGGGTTAAAGACATGAAAACATACTAGCTGGAGACATGACCACCTTTAAAAGATGTGGTATATTATCTTTACCTTGTACAGTAGGGACCAGTTGTAGATTATAAAGCCAAAATTATATATTTAAACATTATCATTTTACATCCAAAGAGCTGCAAAATGAAACGTTTCAGATAGTTACCCTGATTAATTTTTTTATATAACTGTTTCATCTCTCGAGAGCAGTATTTTAAAATAAGCAGCCATTTCAACTAAGTAAAATAAGTAGCACTATAGCATGAACTGCTCAGTGATTGCTTTTGCTACCCAAATGTGATTTAATTATATAAAGTTTTCTTAATCCTGTTAATTGTAAATGTATTCCTGTTTTTCCTAAAGTATGTGCATGAGTGGACCTAAAAATAAGTTCATACTAAAACTGACTATATTAATATAAAAGCAATTTTTAAAATAATTTATTTTGCTTTCTTATTAGTAACAACATAGATGTTGCTATAGAAAACATTGAAAATATGCTTACTTCAGGGAACCAAACCATAGAGTCTCGGTACTTTGGCTTGTCATACTTATTCAGAAAAGCAATAGAGGAGCAGATAGAACCAGCAGTTGAAAAATGTAAGTTGATTGTTTAAAGAACACAAAAATACATTTTCTCTCTGGTAACTAGACCAAATTTCTCTGATGGATGAATCATACCACTGTTTTAACAAAAGATTTTTTTTACCTGTCATTTTTTCCAGTAAGTATCATGGCAGAGAGATTGGCCAATCAGTTTGCAGTTTACAAACCAGTCACTGATCTTTTCCTTCAGCTTGTGCAATTGGGCAAGGTGGATGACGCCAGAGCTCTCCTACAGGTAATGACTCAGAGCAGTGGCACTTGTAGTTTGTGAGAAGCAGCTGAGAAATTATTAGACATGCTTGTGTGTGTCACTCCAGAAATAAAGTGCAGTACTGCTAGACCATTTGAATTCAGCATGAATCAAGGTTGCATGTTAAGGAACTGGATTGCAGGTTGTAGTTTGCCAGTTTTAAAGATACCACATAGGATGAGGAAAGTCCTTACAGTTTAAGAAGGTGTTGAAAGTGGAGAAGATGAATTTTGCTGGAATGATTTAAAAACAAATGGTTCTGTCCAAACAGCAATTCTTTTGATTTTCTATTTTAGTTTCTCTAATGCTGTAAATAGTATGCATCACCATGGCAACACGGTTTACAAACAAGAAGTAGGAAATGTTTGCTTTTCAAGTACAGCTTCTCACTGAGTACTCAAGACATTCTCAGTGCCTTATTCAAGGTTTATTAGAAGTTGATTTTGCTTTCTATTCACTTGTGTGTCACAGACACATTAAATGACAAATGCGGGTCTCTGTGGCCCGCACTCTTGGTTAAATTAGCAATCTTCAGGGAAAGAGACAACTGCATTCATGCCATTTTAACAGAACTAAATATAAAGCTATGCCAAGTGCGACAGAACGGTGGGTAATCGAGCTGCCACTGGCAGTGTACACAAACAGGCACCGCTGGGGAGCCCCTTCCCAGCAGGTGGCAGTCAAACAGTCACCATGATCCCGCCAACGGCTGTGTTTGTGTAGACTCCCTGTGTCAAATTGAAGCCTGAGACCAATTTTTGATAGTAAATAGTATTATATTCACTTACATTTCCACCAGCAGCGAACTATCTTAAGTAGTAGATAGGGAAGGTAAAACTGTACCCATTTGCTTGAGCTCCAGTTTTGATTCTTAAAGTCCATCTAGACTGACAGAATCCAAACCATTTTTAAAGGAAATGCCTGAGATTTTTCCTCTGAGTTAGCAGTTGTATAAAAAGATATATATAAACTGGTACTGATTTTGAGGCTTTTACTTTTGTTTCTGGACACAGAGGAATTCCAGTTACTTGTGAAATTTCTTGTTTGATTTGGTTTATTTACCACCCCCAACCCCTTCCCCACCCTCCCCACACCCTTTTTTTTTTAAAGGAAAAAGCAGTTTATATAGGGATTTCTTTTTGTTGTTGTATCTTGCTGCCTTTAGTGCTAAAAGTTTCTCTTAATATAAGAACTCATGTTTTATCTTCATGTATAGGTACAGGGATATAAGCATATAAATACCTCATCATACACAGGAAAGTATTTATTCAGCATTAACATATTCTGTCTGATAGCTTTCTAGACAGTGGCACTTGACTTCCTTTGGCATCTTATTCTCAGCCATGATCTTAAGGGCTGCATAGAGAGCTCAGCCAGTAGCCGGGGCAGGAGGTAATCAGGCCTAACCCAGAAGCTCTTGGTGACAGCTTAGTGTTAATGCTACAGCAGCAGTCTTTTCACTTATGTCCCTTCAGTCAGCTGAGGTTCCAGATGATAAACCCTTTACTCATCCTTTACCTGCTTGTCAAACATTAAAGGATTATTCTTGCTTTAGTGCAGAACACTTTCTTCACAGATATTGCAAACATCAGTTTATAATGTAAATGTTCTGTGTGCCTCCAAAAGTTCTTTTTGTACTACTCGTTTTAATATTGACAGCGTTTTGGAGCTTTGAAAGAGCAATGTGCTTTCAGAAACTTAAGAGAATGACATCTATGATGAGTGTAAACTAAAATATTGTCTTGCCATATTTGATTTGACTATAGCACCTAAGATTGGATAGACATTTGATTTATCTGGTCTGTCACATAAACTTTTTTTTTTGAGTTTAACTTTTGTCTCTTTCTCAAGCACTGGCTGTCTGTTGCAATGAAAGCCTTTTATAAAATAGAGAGATTGAAATCAGTCCTTTTGTATGCATAAGTGTAGGTAATTATACTTTAAAGAGAACTTGCTTTGTACATTTTAATTTTTATAAAGAAACGAGCAGTTATCTCCCTGACACCTTATTAAATGTATAATTAACCTTATGATCCCTAGCTCACTTGTGAATGCTTGGCAGTATAATTGGAGAGGAATAGTGTTTCTTTTTTTCCTCTTTCTTTGCAGTCCTAAACCTTGTTCTGTGGTTGTTGAAGCATTAGTTTAATGCTTCCCTTTTCTTTTTAAACAAACTTTACACTTGAAATGCCAAGGACAGCATTCACCATTAGTTGGCATAGCTTGTACTTGTTTTCTTTTTTTCTTGTCTTAAAAAACATGGTCGTCTATTTGGCTTTCCTGGTGATAATGATACACTGTTATATTATTGTGAACTTCCTTAATTGAAAATATTCACCTTGGTCTGCTCGTTTATCAAAAACCTTTACTTACTGAATAATTTAACTTTTAGAGATGTGGTGCAATTGCTGAACAAACCCCAATTCTGTTGGTGTTCTGTTTTAGGATTGCTCAGCAAAAGGGAAAGGTATGTACATTACTTGTTTACAAATCAAAGACAGTCTCGTTCCATGGTTTAACAAGAGTCCATTGCTTCAAGATCTTGTACAAAGCACCATCAAGACCTAAGTGTGTCTTAAGTTTTAGGGTGTTGATGCAGAGTCAGATGTGGCTCCTTAGATGTACTAAAAATGAAAAACAAGGTCTTGCAGCAGATTCCTTGATCGTGTATCTGTGGGCTAAGAGCCCCAAGAAAGGGCCCTTAGAAGTCGAAGATAAAATCACATGGCTTAACATGGACAACAATTGACGCACACTCACTGGTCAGCATTATAAAAAGAGGAGGCACTACTTTCCCTGGGGATAAATAGCAGTGATTGATATTCTAAATGGGGAAATTCCTTGTATGTGACTTGTTTTCCCATTTGACCCCGATTAATCAATATTACCTGGGTGACTGTACTTATAATCTTATTGGTTGGTCATGGTTTTGTCCCACCTCATGCCCACCTTGTAAATTTCCATTGGGTCTTATAGTTTTGTCCCACTTTGTACCCACCTCACCACATGGCATGGCTGTATAAAACATCTTTGAAAAGTGAGGTGAGCATGCAACCCACTTTCTGGTCCCTCTTCTGTCTACTCTTACACAGAAGCTTTCTTTTTTTTTCTTTTTTTTTTTTTTTGGTACCGGGGATCAAACCCAGGTTCTTGCCACTTGCACAGCAGGCGGTGAAACCAGTGAGCTAAATCCCCGGCCCAGCCTTCTTTATCTCAATAAATTATTTCTACTCTTAAAAAAAAAAATCACATGGTTTGAATCGCCTTGGTGCACTTAATAAGGCAGAAGCAGTTCAGAAGGAAACTGACCACTGCCGAGCGTCTCCCATTGGGTGGCTGCTTCTGACTGTTTCTCAGGTAGAAGCTCTCACAGGCGAGTGAACCATTTGGCTTTAAAATTGATATGGTCTGCCAAACTAATGTTCTTTTTGGTACAGTTACCTTATCTATACTGTAAAAGGGGTTGGGTTTGTGGGTATGTGTAATATCATCTGTTCTTGATGTTTAAAAAATAAGAGCATAGTGCCAAAAATTATTTTAGATCTAATTTTACCTCTTGAGCTCCAGGAACTTAATGCTCAGTTTGGATACTTAATAAAGTTTCAAATTGAGTACAAATTGTAATTTTTGTTCAAGGTGAAACTACCTAATCATTTCACCTAAGGCAGAGAGGTCTGGTTTTCCTTTTTTGTTTTTTTGGTACTGGGGATCAAACTCGGGACCTTGCACTTGTGAGGCAGGCACCGGAACCGCTGAGCTAAATCCCCGGCCCTGGTTTTCCTTTATTTCCACACACTTCCCCTACCTGTACACACACTTTTAAAAAACTTAACCTAATTACACTTTTTAATCTCTGAGTCATGTATTTATGTCCAACAATATTTAGAAAATACTTAGTTGTGTGTGTGTATGGGCGCCACCCCACCACCCCCCATTTCAAAAGAAATTTATCTCACATTTTTGAAAAGTACAAGGATCTGTGCTGGGGGTTTGGTTTGTAACCTACCCAGTGGTAGAGCTTGGGCTTAGTGTGCATGAAGCCCTGGGTTCCATTCCCAGCACCACAAGGGAAAAACAAATGTAAGAATTTAAAAAGCACTTGTAGGCCAAGTGTGGTGACACACACCTGTAATCCCAGCACTGTGCGAGTTGAGGCAATAGGGATGTGAGTTCAAGGCAAGCTTGGGCTACACAGAAAGTCCAAGGCCATTCTAGACTACCAAGTAAGACCCTATTTTTTAAAAGAAGATGGATTGATTACTTGCTCAATCGGGCAGGCACTGGTCAGTCTGTATGTGGTACAATGCCAGGTTCTTTCTTACTGCCTAGGTCCAGAGATGGGACAGGAAGCATACAGTAACTACATCTGCTTAGAATATTCCTCACAGGAAACTCCAGAATGCAATAAGAATTCTGGGGAAGATGCAGGTCTAAGCGTGGGTGGTCTGAACACACATGCCAGAAATGGAATTAGGATTTTTAAAATACCAGTTAGTGTCCTGCTCTTTGACAGTAGAATAGGTAAGTCAGATTTAGCCTCTTGTGAGATGGCATCAGAGACTAAATGTATGTAAAATTTATCATCAGTTTGTTCCACAATATTGGAGTGTGTCTGGAAATACTGTTTGATCAGTTCCTCATTAAGGTAAAACAGTTCTGCATTCTCTACAGGAAATAAGACCGTAGGTGTATCTACATACCTTTCCAAGGATTCAAATAAAAATTTCAGTGAGATTCTGCAAATGGCTCTTTTTATGTACCAAGCAGGGAAAACTCTAGGCTGTTTTGGCTGAATCCTTCACATTTCATGAAAAAAATTTGGCACCCTTGAGGTCTCATAACTTTTTGGCGTGATTACCAGTTGATAAAAAACCAAACATTACGAGTTTGATCCCCGGTACCAAGAAAAAAAAAACACAAAAGAACCAAACATTAAATATTTAGAAGCAGTATCCTGAAATAAATAATATGTTTAAATATTTTAGAAAATCTTCATAGAAATATAAGTGGAATTCCATCATCTTTTGAAAAATGCTGGTTTGTTTTATGTGTAAATTAATTGAAGCAGCATTAAGTGCTGAGATACACAGAAGGGAAACCATTCATTACATTGAATAGGCAAGGTTTTTTTTGTTTTTTGTTTTTTTTTGGTACCAGGGATCGAACTCGAGTCTTTGCGCTTGCGTAGCAGGCAGCGAAACCACTAAGCTAAATCCCCGGCCCGAATAGGCAGTTTTTGTAAGGATTGTCAAGATTTTCTAATGTAGTATTTATCTATTAGCAGTCTAGTTCATTGTTCTTTTGAGTTTGTCGCAATATTACCTTCATTTTAACTTCCTAGGCACCAGTTCTGAATTCTTTGTTAGAATTGATTCCCGAATTACGTGAAAAGGAAGAAGCATACACTTCCGCCATGAAAACCTATGGTAATAAATTTAATCTTTATTTTGGGGGTGGTTACTGGGGATTGAACTCAGGACCTTGTGCTTGCAAGGCAGAAGCAGCGCTACTGAGCTAAATCCCCGGCCTTCTTACTGTCTTGTGATTTAAATTTTTGTAATATAGTCAACTAAGTCTTCAGCTTGAAAGCAGTAATTGTAAATATCAGACAATTACTGATGATATAAATGATTCACTTAGCCCTAGAATAAGTTTTAAACTGTGTGAAAATTATGAAATATTATATAACTAACTCTGAGAAGTATCACTGAGCATCTTTAGGCAGCACAGGTATGGGGAATAGGTTCCCAGGCTCCAGAAAGACCCAGAAGTTCACTTGGATTTATGTATTAGAAACCAGTTGAGCCTCCTCAAGGCCCTGCCCCTGAAAGGTGGCATGAAGAGGAGGCCTATTTGAGATTGGCCCTTGCCTTCCATCTCCCTCAGCCCCCTCAGCCCCCACAATCTACCTACTCCTTTGAAATAATAAACTTAGCCCAAGGTTCACCTCCCAGTTGAAAGTGTAGTCTTTTAACCAGTTTGTCCCTCATTGCTAGAAATCTCATGAAAGAAAGGGAACTGATCTAAAGTTTCCTTACTACTCAAGTAAATGTTACCATTTCTAAATGATGATCATTTTTCTGTCTGCCATCTGCTGATTTATAGAGTATATAAAAAATCATTTTGTTGATTTTATTTTTTTATTATATTGGTACATTTTAGGTATGCAATATAATGACATTCATCCTTGGAGATTTGTACCTTTACATAATGCATTTTGATTCTTTTTTTTTTCCCCCTTCCCCTGCCCTCCCTGTTGATTTTTTGGCAGGACAGGAAACTGAGCAATCAGAATTAGTAAATTGGTTCTCCCTTTTCCTACCCTTACGTGGAGACTATATCCTTATTTCAAAATAGAGCTATCATCATTAACCTCTTCAACTTTCCAATAATTAAGATGAAATACCATCAAATACATAAAGCACTTATATGTTACTACTGAAATAAGCAGGAAGAAGAGAAAGGAATGATACTAGAGCTAAGGCAGCTTCCTAGAAGGTCGAGCTTGAACCCTTGACAGTAGTAGGGGAATGATTCGGCAGGCCCTTGGGAGGGAAGCAGAGGATTTCCACAGAAGAAACTGACCTTAGCCAAATTCAGATGGTCTGGTCCACTCTAGTAGGCGCTGCTGAGTCATTGGCCCTAGTTCCCCTTTTGGGAGAGCCTGCGTGGATTGAGAACTTTAGCTTATGGTCCCTTTGACTATCGTGGATCTTCAAAATTGCATAATAACCAAAGCACCTGATACCATTAATATTATTCTAAAGGTCTTTTAAGTATCGCTCTGCTTGTCATTTTCCCTCTCCTTCATAGTGAGTAAGTCTACACGAGGGTGTAGAGAAGCACCGAGGACATTCATAGACTGAGTGTGGTTCCAGAGCACCATTTTCCTTGGGATAAAGGGATCCAGGAGTCCCTAAGCAAGTAGAATGTTCTGGTGAAAAGAGAAAAATAGGTCATATTTACCTGTAATTAATATCTTTTTCTTCTTTAACATGGTCAGTCTTGGACAATGATGTACCATCTGCTAAAATGCTGTACAAATATTTGACTGCAAAGAACATGAAAATGAATGACCTATTTCTAAAGCGTTATGCACTTCTGCTGAAGAATGCTGGAGAGCCTGTTCCTTTCATTGAGCCCCCTGTGAGTATTTCTTAATTAAGAGGAGAAAAAGCCTCCACCGATTTATGTATGCCTCGTAGGAATGTATAAAAAATAAGTTGCATCCTTAATTACATGAGGATTAGGTCATCTGTGTGCAGAACTGCCTGGGGAGGGCCTGAGGGATGGTGCCGCCATGGCCGTGGCCGTGGCCAGGGAGAGCCAAGCCCTCCGAGGCTGGGGTTCACGTGTCAGGTCTGCCCCAGCCTGCATATCTGTGTGAGTTTATTACTGTCCTTGGGCAGGATTTCCTACTGGGATAGGACTTTATGACCCAGTATTTCAGTAGCCAAGCATATTATATCACTGTTAGCTACACATGCATTTTAAATAAGTTGGTTTTTATTTCTTTATGATCTAGAAATTTGGTTTACATTAGTAAGAGAAATCACATATGCAGAATTCCATGTTAATGTATCACTGAACTGAAAGTCATCACACTAGTTTTATTTCAGACACCTTAGCATTCCATATCCAAGCGTAGTGTGTGCATATTTACATGCATAGAAATGTGTGTGCAAAGGCTCCTGGTGCTAACTTGAACTATGTACTTGTGACCCTCAGGAAGGAACTCCACAGAGTGAGGAGAGGCTCGCCATGGGCCGCACAGTCTTGGCTACCAGTTTACAATGCTTTGTGATTTTAAGTTTTGTCCTGTCACATCTTGCTCGTGACTCATTAACTTTCTTCTCTCTTTTCTCTCTCTCTCTCTTTTTTTCCTTTTTTCCTCAACAGGAAAGCTTTGAATTTTATTCAAAACAGCTAAAGGAATCAAAGGAAAACCCTTCCTGAAATAAGCAGAGGCTGCCTTGTTTTGTGTGTATTTGTGATCCTATGTCTAAGTATTATTTCTAAGATGTGTTTGAGAGAAAAAAATAAATAAGTAAATTGAAAATTACTTTGTTTATATATTTTTTCATTTGTAAAGTACAATGTAATGTTCACCCCCTTATTGACAGTAACTACACTTACTAGGCTTTTTTCTTTCTGTCTACAGCGTAAATCTGTAGCATTTTCAGAATGCTTTTTGGGGATTGAACTCAGGACCTTGCGCTTGCAAGGCAGGCAGCAGAACCACTGAGCTAAATCCCCAGCCTGTATCTGTAGCATTTTAAGGCTTCTTATGCATGTGAGGCCATAATTTTTCAACAGTCTTCTCCCACGCAAATATTCAGTTTCCATGTCTAGTTTATTATTTTCAGAGACTATTTCTTTAAGACATGCTTATTAGTTTTATTTATCTGAAAAAGTTTGGAGCTAGCTAGAATGATGTCCAGCCCATTTGCTAGTGCTTGCTAATCTAGGCCATAGCAATCTCTGATGCAGTGAAGTCCTAGCGTTGTGAACTGCCACTTCTCAGAGGGAAGTGGAGCCCCAGAGAGCCTGCCCCTGCCTTTGCACAGGGCAGTGCATTCCTTTCATTTTAGTTTCAGGGTTTTCTCACAAGCTACCCTAAAACAGCCTGTTACTCTAGACTTACATGCTGTAGATATGTGACTTCATATGTGAAGCAGTGAATTTTAGTTTGTAATTAGCTTAAATGAAAGCCCCATATTGGCTCTCATGCTTGCTAGTATCTACATTGTGAGTAGTTACTTTTAAAAATTAAGATAGGTTGTCGAGACACTTTACCATTACTCAGAGGTCTTCATGTGGAATGTTGACTTGTTTGGAGATATTGAAAATGTCTTACTTGATAATTACCCTCATTTTGATGCATTCTTTGTCCATTTGAGTTTGGTAACTGCCTATTCTTGGGTTTCACAGCCAGCTTGGTTCCCAACCACCCTTGGAGCAGCAGGCCTGCTCTTGCTGTGTGCTGTGGAACCAGTCCTCTAGCAGCCAGCACCTGCCCATAAGTGGACAGGAAAGGTTGACAAAGGGCAGCCCAGTCGAGTGTAGGATGAGCAGGGCCTTCAGCACCACGCTGTCCTGTGGACTCAGTCCCAAGGAGAAAAGAGGCTGAACCGGTGCCCATTGCCAGCCTCGAGAACACAATGCAGCCTCCTCTTGTGCACCTGTCTAGAGTATCTTTGCTAAAGCAGGCCTTAGTTTTTGCAGTCATGCTAACCTTAGATTAGTTGAGCTGTGTTTTATTGGTGTTGGTTAAAATGTGTTTCTGAGGTGAGGCATAATCTGAACTTCGAAGTCATCTTTGAGGAAACTGGAAATATAACTTCATCTGCATGAAGTGGGTAAAATGTGGATGTAGTACAAAGAAAATATGAAAAAGTCTCCATTTAGGCCCCCCCCCCCAAACCAGTGCCTCTGTACTGAGCTACATTTCCAGTCCTTTTCACATGCTTATATACGCACTTGTGCATGTGTATGTTTTGTTTTAAGGCTGGGTCTTGCTAAGTTGCTCAGTTGCCCTGACTGGGCTTGAACTTGTTATCCTCCTGCCTCAGCCTCCCAGAGGGCTGGGATTACAGGCATGCACCATGATGCCCGACAGCATTCTAAATGACAGATGAGAGCAGAAAAGTATATATGATAACAAAGGATTCTAGTCAAGCATCTTTAGCACTGTATTGGTTCTCCTTTTGAATGCAAATATGAAGTGTAATAATTGTAGCTATAGGAGGGCTTATGAGAGCTTTTTAAATATCTAATAGCCACATTGAAATAAATAGGACTGTAAACAATTACAGCAGTTCAATTTATTATATTCAAATTATATGTGAAGAGCAAATTCTAAAAAGTAAAGCTGTCATTGTAAAACTTGGAAAGTACAGTATTTTATACATAATTATTTGTTCGTTTATTGGAACCTAACATAAATGTGAATTGCTTTGAATAAAGTATATTCCAAGTACCTCTGAATTGCTTCACTTATCTTATCAAATATTTGCGCAACTGCTCAGACCCATTTGAAAGGACTTCAGTCTTAGGGGCCGGGGATTTAGCTCAGTGGTTTTGCCGCCTGCTGCGCAAGTGCAAGCACCCGAGTTCGATCTCCTGTACCAAAAAAAAAAAAAAAGGACTTCAGTCTTAAACATTGAAATTAAAAGTTGTAAAGTGACCTGTTACAGCCAGAATTGCCTTGCTAAAGTCACTTTTCACCTGTTTTAAGAGCAAGCCTCTCTCTCTCTCTCTTTTTTTGGTACCAGGGATCAAACTCAGGACCTTTCACTTTTGAGGCAGGTGTGGTGCCACTGAGCTAAATCCCCAGCCCAAGAGCAAGCTTCTCTTGCACAAAGTGTTGGCACATTTTCCAGCTCCGAAGCTGGCTGGGGTCTGTCCAGATCATACACACAGGCCTGCAGCACCTTTGCCCTTTCCCAGAGTGCTTGCTGAACTCGTTCACGGCTACTCACTCTCTTGGCCCCTTGTCCCCAGCTAGCATTTGGGCTGTTCCCTCCCCAGCATTCCCACTCCAGATTGTCCCCCAAACAGATTGCCAACTCAAGACTGGCACCCGGTCTCGGTCTGTATCCTCGGTCCTAGTGCAGTCAGCCCTTGCTACAGACTCAATAAATTGGTTCTGTGTTAACACTGGGCACCAAGCACCCACTGCCATGTGTCACATGTGCCATGTGCTAATTCGTCTAGTTTTCATAGACTTACAAAAGTGAATTTGCACAGAATTAATTACATCCATAAGTCAAATGGCTTGACTCTAAAGGCTTCGTCCTATAAGAAAAAACTAGAGCATTCCAGTTAAAAAGCCAAACTAGAATCTAAGCTATAAGGATATTCTTTAATAATAAAACACCTTGAACGTTTATGGAATTATGTATTCCCAGTTTCTGGGAACCTCACGCTGTAAGGATAGTCTCCCATTTATTCCGATACCCCATGCCTGGCATAATCACAAGTTTGCAAGTTCCAGTAAATTATTAAGTGAGCTTTATATTGCAAATTGTTTTCAGTACAGTATATTTCTTGAATCTGCATTGTATTTACACTTTTCCTCTGTCTGAGCACAATTTTCATTTAATATTTGTCTTTCTGAGCAGCCAATATTTGTAGAATTTCTGTATGTAAAAAGCAAAATTCCTCAAATGTGGTCGAACTAATAACAGGGAGTACTAAATCATGGTAATTTATCACTTTGCAGTTGTACAATCATGCACAAGAGTATTTGCATTAGAAATGTATCCTGCTTTCAGGCCCATGGACTTTACAAAACCCACATTATGCAGCCTTAGTACAAATAAAGGAAATGGCTGCATTAGCAAATCCCAGATAGACACTTGTCTTTTCCATTTTTGCATGAAGAAAAGAAACATCAGATCCAGATCAAGTAAAAGCATTTAACCAACTCTGGACTTGCTGCTCCTGCATCTTTTTTCAGATAGTGGTGGGCTGCTGGGATCTGTCCTTGGAGCATGCTCTAAAAGAGCGTCTTCCTTGGTGCCATGAAAGTCTCATTTATTCTTCCTGTGTCTTCCTCTCTGAGCTTTCCCCATGCTCTGCAGACCCAGTTAAACAGCCAGGCCCTGAGAGGGGCCCAGTGAGCCTCACTAGATGACCAGTGGGCACCGGCCTTGTGTACCCTTCTGCAAGACTGGTCTCTCAGTGTGGTGTGGGCATCGGGGGTTCCCTCCACGTGGTTGTCACAGATGCCACTGCTTGTTCGTTTACTCTGTGACTCAGAAATAAGAAATTGGGAATTGAGGCCCAAGAAGTCCTTCAAATCTCATTTAAAAATATTTTCACCAGGGCCAACTGATGATGATCTGAAACTTCCAAAACTGAACCAAAATAAGCCTTTTCTTTTTCTAAGTAGATCATTTCAGATACTTGACATTGTCAGGAGGAGGCCTCACAAATGTGTGATTAAAGAGCCTTAGTCTGAGCCCAATCACAGATTCCATGCGATAATGGAATTAACAAATACAGAGCCTTTTCTGTCTTTTTTTTTTTTTTTTTTTTTTTAAAGCAAGGAGCAGTGGTGGTTTTTAGTAGTTTGGGAAAATAAGAATCCTTCCAATTTTACAAAAGACAAGACAATCCTATAATGAATGAGCACTGAGCACTCTTCCCTAGCAAGTAGAGAAGCCTCACTGTGTTGGTAATGTGTTATAAACCTCAAACCACTGCTTAAGCATTATTTTAGTTATTAGGTGCTGAACCATATATGCTGCTGCTCCCAGCTCCCAGCAGAAAATGGGCTGCACTCCACCTCCCTGCCTCCCCTGCCAGAGCTGCCTCAGGGAGGTACCAGGTGACTTGGACACAGCTTTGTTTTTGTTTGAACCCAAGGTCTGGCACTTGCTAAGCAAATGCTCTACCTCCAAGCTACACTCCAACCCCTATCCTGGCTACTTTTGATGAAGAAACAATCAATTCATCAAATACAAATGACAAGTGGCGAGATTTGAATTAAGCTATTTTCAAATAAGTCCATGAACATTGGATATATTTTTCAAATAAGCAGCAAGATGCTTCCATCATCCGCCCTGTGCCTTGCTGACTTCAGAGCCTGTTTGGGCCTGTGGGCTATGGCAACTGCCAGTGGAAAGTGGTTCCTCGGCCTGTCTGTGCTAAAAGACTAATGTGAGTCTCAGCAGAATTCCTACCCCCAGCTCTGTGAACACTTGGATTTGACATCGATTTTAATATCTCTGCTGCAAATTGTTTAGCCTGAGAACACAAGACTTGGGGAAAAGCAAGTGTAAGATCTAACTGTAGACTGGCTTAAACCAGGGCAAGATTACATTTTATATAATCCATAGGAACAAGAGCCTTTTATTTAAAAAATCCTATCAAATATTTGAGTTGAGATAGGTAATTCCTGTTGGTTTAATTAAAATTCCTTCATCAATAGCATGACTTGACATTGGAGAGGTTAAAGTGAAAATTGCAGACACCTTTACCTTTTGATCAAGGGTCTGCAAACTACAGCCTCAGCCAAACCCAGCAAGCTGCCTGTTTCTGTGAGCTGTAGTTTAT